TAAAGCAGATTCCACTTCATTTATTAAAAAAAGTAATCCTTACAATTGATATTGTAAGGATTGTGGAGTGGAGTGGATATTGTGGAGTCCTGTAGCTCAGTGGTTAGAGCACTCGCTTTGCAAGTGAGAGACCCGAGTTCAATTCCAAGCAGGGCGAAACCTTGGGCAAGTTTCCTTACTCCACACGCCTAATAATAATCCCTCCAAAAAACAAAAACAATAATTAAATTGGTCATTTTCAATCGACGACTGTTTTTGGGACATTGCTGTGCGCAATTGGCTGCCGCATTCGCCCACAAATATACAGTCAATTCACTTTACAGTGTGTTCTGTGAAGCGCTTTGGGACGTCCTCCTGACGTGAAAAGCGCTATATCAAATGCAAGGATTATTATTATATTGCGCCTTTTACATCAGGAAGATGTCTCAAGGTGCTTAACAGGAGTTACCTTAAGTGCCAATTTGTGCACAGTAATATATTACAAATATAATGACGGATTTTATCTGGGGGATTATCAGGCTGGAACACACAAATAAATTCCTTTCTCTTTTCAAAAAGATCTTTAACGTCCACCTGAAAAAGCAGACACGGACTCGGTCTAATGTCTCATCTGAAGGACGGCATTCCCAACAATGAAGCACACCCCCAGCACTGCATTGAAGAGTCAGTCGAGAGTACGAGTTGAAAATCCCAACAAAATGACAAAATAGTAGCAATTGCAAGGTTATTAGAGTTGACGTAACTATCATTCAGTGTATAATTTCTTCCAGTACATTAGCAGTATTTGAATCCGTATGCAACAAACATTACATATATACATTTTTTAAATAACTATAAATTACTCAAATGATTTGGCATTTGGTGTTTTAAAAATCCTCCTTTGATAATGCAATTTCATTGTAAAAAAAAATCATCTATTCTCAACATGTGGCTCAAAAGTATTCCAAAATAGTAGTAATACATGTCAATCTCAATACTGTTCAATTCAGATCCAACAGCATGGACTACAAAGTAATACATAAAGCCTCCACTCATTTTACCTTAACTCCCCTACCATGATGCTATTATACTGGACCAGTGTCAAAAAGAAAAATCAATGACTGTTTAATAAAGCATTACACACAAATTTCATAAAGAGTTGGTTCCTGCACGGCCCAGCAATCATCATTTACAGTTGACATTCTAATTCTAATCAGATTATAAAATGGGTAAACACTGGATTAAAGAAAAACTTTACTGTAAGTACTATAACTGTATTAACAATCATTCACTGTTCTATGAATATCAACATATAAATCTACCAAAACGACAAATACATGCAGCATATTTAATTGTCTAAATCTCAGCATATAAACCTTCCTACTCTTATGCAGAAAAGAGACTCATCTGAGGCAACATCTAGTCTGTCTGGAACCAAGCACTTTCAAACTAGTTTTTCAATGTGCTGCGTCCATTTCTGATAAATGAGAAAAGAATAGATGGCCTGGCAGAAGGCTCAGACAATAACATGTGATTTACAGGACATGAATGCAGCTACTATAAGATTTATCTGACAGCCCTCTCTGATAGTGGACTGTTCAGTATCCGATGGAATGATTTCTAGTCTGGAAAATCTACTACTGAGTAGCCATACACATTATTTATTTATTAGATGTTTTGGGTTGAAACCATTTTTAAATGATGCACTTCGGAACATGCAGCAATAAATTCAGCTTTAAAACTGGAATTGAGGTAGTGTTATTGGAATGTATGTCAGACTGAATTAGTGCTAGGACGCAGAACATTGAAAAAGTACCCTTGAATGCCATGATGATATATTAAAAAAATTACTCTAATAAGCTCAGACTGCTTGAGAGAACATGCTAAAGATGTTAAGGAGTGTATACCATCACTTGCCACCATAGTAACATGCAAAAAAACATTTAAGTGAATAGGATTATAAAATCAAAGGTACATCATTCTCACACTAGAGTAGGCCTTCCCAGGTTTACAAATCATATTTACTAGTTACCATATTGAGCCAGGTTTAAATAACAGAACAAGTACTACCCGATGCCACTTTGTATGGGACAAGATAGGAAAATGCCCTTCCAAGCAGAAACTACATTAAAGGCACTCTACACTTCTGTTCCTGCATGTTTGCTTTTTCAAGAACAAAGTACCTGTATTTAATGTTTCAAAACACAAAAATAAATTCACATCTTAAATTAAACTAATATTTATCACACTTTAAATTCTGTGTCATCTAAAAAATCAACACAAATGCTACAAATCCCACCATAGGTTTTTCAATGATAGATGAAACTACGGTTTTACAATAGGATGCAAATGAAAAATGCCATCTCGCTCTGGTAAAAACACTTTAAAATGAAACACATTCTCAAAATTTCACATTTTGTATGAGAATACAAGGGGTTCAAACGCAAAGTTTCTCAACATATCAATTCAACAGAACAAAGTCATTTTATATATTCTAAACTAGTCCAGTTTAAAATTTGCAACTTCCTTAGAATATGTGGATTCTTAGCATAGGTCAATTTTAGAGGATTCAATTTGTAGCATCCAAATTTTAGGATACATTCTAATGCAAAATGCCTATGAAGAATTCTCTGTCATTATATATAGAAGCTATCCTGCTTTGTAAACTTAACAATTAGTCATCTTTAGAAAGGCATTTGGCCCCGCTTTTAACAATAGACAGCACACGTTAGAAGCCATCAAGCTGAGAACACTAATCTTTGTGTGATTAAAAACATGATTTCTTGACCTTAGCTTTTGATCTTTGACTTTCATCCCACTCCATCTACCGTACAAAATTAATTAAGATTTTAGAGGGAGAATATCACATCCCACCCCATCTCCCTCCCTAAAATTAATCAACATCAAATTCTATCCGATCTCAACATCCTAGAAGAGTCTAGTTGAAATCTTATCCCAGGTCTCAAGTTTTCATGTCAGCAAGGTCTGTCCTTTTCATAACAAAGGAAATTGCTTTTGTGACCCTGACCTTTCATTTTAGATAATGCAAAATTGTAACTGTACAAGTATCCTATCTTTAGGTTTAAAAACAGAGTTTTATAGCATATTCCATACTTTCAAATATAATGCATTTCTCAACTGATATCTAAATCTTACCATCCTCTGTGAAATATAATGAGGCCTTAGGAGTAATTTTACGCCCTCTATGTGATTAGAGTAGCATTAAACATCTCTGACATTTATGACAAATTGGTGCATTAGACTTTGTAATCTATTTATGTAGCCCATGTTCGTTGCTCTATTTCTCTTTTCCATAGAGTCAAGTATAAAACAATGTATTTTCACAAAATCAATTTTAAGGTTTCGGAAATTTAAAATCTTTATCATATACTTCAGTTGACAAATCAGGCTGAACTGCTTGAATCTTCAAATTTAAAAAAAAGGTTTGTATATGTGTAACTGATGATAAGTGTGCAGAAAATTCTGTTAATTCAAAATGTTGCATTCCTCTTAAAGCTCACAGTAAACTTGGGGTCATGTGCCAAACCTATTTTGTTCTGTTATTTCAAGTCTGACAATCTAATCCACAAGGTCTAGTTCAGCATCCTATTGTTATGGAAATATCTAGCAAAAAGTGCTACTGTACCAGAATTCTACACTTCACCAGCCATTATGTTGCAAAATGTTACCATTGCAACCACAGATTTTTTTAGTAATATAGCTTTGCCACAAATGTTATTTCATCCAGCAATACAAATGTTATTTTATCCAGCAATGCAAATAGCAAATTTCTTTAAAAAAAATTGAGGCTGAATGGATTATACAATGGTTTCACATTAAGCATTAATTGACCATGTTTAACAACTTTTAGCATGTATGCTGTGGGGGAGGGAAACAAAAAGAGTTTACTTATTTTTATTTCTTCCTAATGTCAGTCTCCTTGTCTAGTCCTATGTTCCCTCCCCAGTCTTACGGTCCCTCCAGTGGTTGAAGCACTTCCAGAATGCATTGTTATGCTTACCATTACATTTTGAGATCCATTAGGTGCGATATTCTGAAGTAAATGTGCTTATTGCACTATATTGACAACACATAGCATTGATTTTTCACACCTTCTATGATTCTTTCATTTATATTCATGACCTATCCGTCAGCATAGCCTAAATAAATTTGGCAACATACCCACTAAAATGAATAAATCGATGCAAAGAAACATTAATGATGCATTATCCTTATTTGTCAGCGAGGTAAACCTTTAGGTTGTAAATGAAGGTCAAAGGCTTTGAAAAGGGTCAGAACCCATGACCTCTGAAGCCTCATCCTCACCAGTTATAGCCTTTGTTTTATTCATGATCTCAAAAGTAATGTGTTGAAAACGTCTGAACACCTACAAATTAATTATTTCCCAGTTAACACAAAGAACGGCATTTGTTCTGCTTCGCCAAAAGCACAGGGACATATGACAATTATGCACTGAATTCAAGTTGCTACAATCTGTACACGTCACAAGGCAAAACCAATGTTACCACCCCCCAGCAGCTAAATCTGTTCTATGTTATTCTTCAATAAGCTTTAAATATTATAAGCAAACTCATTAAATGAATGGGCAGTGTTCTACAAATTATTCCAAATAAAATTAATCAGAAATTGCTGCCAAATTTCTTGCATGTTTAAGTATAATTAGGGAGTGTCTGAAATAACATTTTATACAATTGCTCAATGCTAAAATTGTAGAAACTTTTTTTAGCATTGAGCATATCGTATAAAATGACAACATACAAAATATGTCAACATAGAAGATTGAAATATGGGCTACAGATGTACTAATAAGTATTTGGGATAGAACAGCTTTTACTGAAATAAATTAAGAATAAATTTCAAAGTATGTAGATAGAATATAGTCTTGTTTTTTGATTTTGGTTCACTTGTCTTATTTGTATTTAAATGGAATGACTTTTAAAAAATTCAATGTGTAAAGTCAATGACAACACAAATTTATAGCGTTTTTTCAATAGACTTACCTGAGAACACAGTAACATGACCAACTCCACAACAGAACTGCTAGATTTCATGCAGACCAAACCTACAGAGGAAGAAATATTTTTTTATTGAAAACAATAAAAGAGGTTACAAATACCATCTCTGATTCAAGACATCCACAAGTCAAACTCAAACCCAGGCAACACATCATTTCTGCCTACCCTTAACCCAAACCAGCGGAAAATCATCCCAAATGGACAATGCACTATTTCTATATTTTGTGCATTAACTTTGAATGCTTCCGATTAATCGCTCCAAAGCTGAACAGTATGTGTATTTTATCTATAAGGTCAACAAAGTCAGATGAGCTAAAAAAAACTAGACAAACAAATGTAAATTAACCTGCAACCACCATTTTGCAACAGTTCATTTGATGAACAGGATTATCACTCATTTTAGTAATGAATCTATTAAGTATCAAACATTGCGCTATTATCCATTAATGTGAAGTTCACATTGCAAGTACCTGTACATGGTTTTCAGCCAAGGCATTAAAATGGCTACAAGTTTTACTGCTTTCACTTTAAAGGGAGACAAAGGCAATTAGCAGAAACTAGCAAGTGAACAGCGCTACATAACACACCAAACCGTGGAAGCAGCAATATATCAGTTGCTGACACTGCACCACACAGCTGTCTGATATAAGGAGTCTATTTTTTTCTGCTTACCATACCATTCCAATGACAAGGATTCTTCAGGTGACTGATCACTGCTCTCTACACTAGCACCATAAATGATAATGGATGACGCTGGATTGTTATTGGTGCTTAATAAACTGGCCTGATACATTTCTGTTTTAGGTGGTAGGTCATTGTGAAATGCTGCTGATAACTTTTTTTAAAAATCAATTTAACATAACACCATTCCAATAATCTTTGCTTCAACTATAACCCTTGCTGTAAAGCATTTTTTTAAAAATCATGTGAAAGGCCAACTGATACATTCCTCTAAAACTGAGGCTCAAGTGTTTTGTACTTAATCTACAATTTGTAAATTACTAATGGATTTCAAATACTAACAGAAAAGTATCCCTTGATCAACCATTGACGGAGCCACCCTGTACAATTATTGCATTGAAAATCCCACACATTAGATATTAGCATTCTGATCCCATTCTGAAGAAGGCTGGTAAATATATTTGGTATTAAATTTAAAAATGGCAAAACTTACCAAACTTGCCCTCAAAAAATCAGACTGAGCTTTGGATCACTCAGTACGATCTCATCATTTCTTAAAAAAAAGATGCACTTAACCTTGAAAAATACAGGTTTTAAAAACAATTCAGCTTTTTATTTTAAAATCAATGAACTTTTCCTCCACCTAAAAGGGAGCCAACGCTCTCCAGAACTACATGAGACCCTTTAACAATATATTTATTTGGCTACAAGCATTTCATAAATATTGCAACTCTTAATATTTTTAAAAAACTGATTATTATGCTAGATTATCTATTTGATCTCCAATTAAAAGAAAATGTAACTATTAACTATGTGCTTGCATGTTCTATTGCTGCTCCAAATGTGTACAACATATGTCATATTGATCCACAATATCTACATCTAGCGCTCCATACCACACAAGTTATTATGTATGCAGAGAGGGGAAATGGCTTATGACCTTTGCTTTCTCCGTTACTCTCTCCCTTCAGCCCTCCAGCTATCAATCAAGTTTCCATTTTGTTTCATGGCAGCAGACATCCCAAACACTCTTATTAGTACTTTGACCCTTGACCCTCTCTCTGTAAACCTAGCAGAACCGAAAGTGGTTTTTAAAAAAGGCACTTGCTACTTTATGAGTTTCATGGGATTACAATAGGCTTTATGAATACAGAGATGACAAGGCTCAACTTCATTGTTTCCTAATCACTTCCTTTTGCATAGTGATCAAACAAAGTTAATATATTATGAGAAACCACTAAACTAGTATAAACCACTACACGGAAACTTACTTAAAAATAGTGGTCTAAACCAAAATTAATCCCTTTTTTTAAGAAAATGTTTTTTTTTTAGGAACATGTATGTAGGTTGAATCCTGTTATGTAGTTTAACCAGATGAAAGTTCAGAGTTCATAGCTATCTTGCAAAACCAATAAATTTCCCATGAGGCAATATACAGATGGGGTTGGAGGAGGGAGAGAAAAGAGAGGAATGGAGGAAAGAAACAGAACAAAAACAATTGTTAAGAATCCATCATATTAAAGAGAACACAAATATTGTTTTCATAGTACATCAATGTTAGGAAATGAATGTACGTTTTCCTTTTGGCATTCAATGTCAGTATCAAGTACTTCCAAGTTAAGAAAAGGCACAGCCAGATACAGAATCCAGCCACTTTTACTCTGCCACAAAAGCAACCTTTATTGTACTACGGCATTTCCACCATGTACTACCACTATCCACCAAGCTGGCAGCACTGGCGAGTGAATTTAATGTGGAGTCAGGCAGTGATGTACTGTAAATTTGCACCCACTGCAGACTAAGCTGAAATTATCCAGGAGGAAGAATGATAGTACAACGTTAAATGAGTGCAAGAGCAGATAGACCTAAGGGTAACTATAAATGTATATAAAACAAAGGACATAATGCTAAAGCTGTAAAAATTATTTAGCTGCATGTGAAGTGTTGCATCCTGTTTTGGGCACTTTCTATTGTTTCAGAACTGTTAAAAGGTAGTTATTGTTTTGTTTTAAAAATTTATTTGAAAAGAGATACTAATGGAAAAAACATTTTTAAAAAGTTGTCCTACTTCTAGAAACAATATCACAGGAAAACATATGGAAGTAAGGAATGGCATAATTAGTTAGTGCCTCTGTATAATAATTTTGGTACAAGCCTCAGGGATTTTTCATTCCACTTTGCAGGCACTCGACAAAAGTTGGGTCAAAAATGTATAAATTGCACAACCATAGCCACCTTTGTAAGGTTTTAGACTCATTAAAAAATATCTATCCCACAAAAGTTTGAAAACCCCCAAAAGAACTCATGTCAATCAAAAAATGTTGTACGATACTCTCTTATACAATCCCACGCCTCAACACATTTATTTTTAAAAAATTACTCTTGTACCTCTGTTTAAAACTTGGTCTAAATTCCTCCATTGAAAAAGAACCTACACCACCCACAATTAAAACAAAATCTCTCTCCTACTTGTCCCTAATGGCTTGGACCTGTCCTTGAGGAAATCTATTTCTTCCCTCAGACCTAGAGTGGGAGTGACTCCTGGAGCATTCACTGCTGTGCTCCACCACATAAAGTCTCTCCCAGCATCAAATTGGTGAGCACCTTCAGCACTGCAAAGGGTTTCCTGCCCCATAGCGACATCATGCCCTATCTAGAGAGGGATGAAGGCCACATCATACATAAAGGGGTAAAAGGGAGGTAAAATGATCTATTAACTTGAGTTGTTTAAAAACTGCTCAGTGTGTGTTAATTTGAATATGTGGACGGATTAGCATTTAAATGTAAAGCACGATGGATGGGCATTACCAGAGAAAGGGTGATTGAGTGAGTGGTTAGGAGGAGGGAGAAAAACAGGTGGGTAAATGTGATTGCGGGAAGTGAGAGTTACAATACAGAAGAAACCAAGTATCACATCCAAGGAAGATATAACAACAATAACTTGGATTTGTATAGCCCCCTCCACTCTGGATGGTGTCTTTGAGCGCTTCACAGTAACAGATCCCGGGACCGAGCCAGCGGGAGAGGGAGGAAGGTGACCAAAGGCGCGGTCGAAAAGAAAGGTCTTCAGCAGAGACCTGAAAGTAGGAAGGGAGGGAGCGAGGCGAAGGGAGTGCGGCAGGGATTTCCAGAGCCTCGGGGCATAGTGGCTGAAAGCATGGCTGCCGAGGGTGGAGCGGAGGACTCAGGGGACGAGGATATATGGAATAGATAGCGTTATAGAATGTGAGTGACTGAGCGTGAAAGAGGGAAGAATGAATGCAAGGGAAGAGAGATGGAAGAGAGCAAGTAAATGTGACAGACTGTTGGGAGAGACAGAAAGGGAAACACATATAGAGAAAAACTGAATACACAGAGCAAGAGGCAGAAACGTAGGGTGAGAAAGATAGGGTTAGAAAGGGGACAGAAACTGGAAGCAAAGGACTAGACTTCCCAGCACCTTGCGACGTCCTCCCGACGTGAAAGGCGCTATACAAATGTAATTTTGTATTGTATTGCAGACAAACAGAAGATAAAGTATATTTATGCTTGCTGCCATCACCTCACTCAGTTTACCTCCATTTTTAAATAAGCCCTGCTCCCAACCCTCCTCCGTATTGCCAGCCTGGGATGGGCCACTTCACTAGTTTATCAACAAAAGTGTTAAGAAATGACAAAACTGTTTCAATGGTTTTGGTCTCCACGTGGTTATTGCTAGGAACATAGCTCTTCTTTAGTCACTCCCCTCAGCCCCTAATGTCATTCCACTGCCACATGTGGTTGTAGTTTATGATTTATGAGGTGGTTCATAAAAAACGGGGCGGGGACGAGAAAAACCGTTAGCACTGCACTTTTTAAACAATACAATAAATGTTTTCAATCAGAATAAACTAAAACAATCACCTCTCTTCCTACTGTAAATATATGTCATTAAGCAAAATTGTGGCAGTCTTCCTCTTTCCAGGAGCACAACCTCATAGCATAGAAACTGCTCACAGTTCACCACAAATCAGTAATCTCAGTCACAGCTCATGGGTACTAGAAATAGAAAGATTTAACTTGTAATGGAGGAGATTCTCTTCTAAGGCTGCAAATTGCATAGTACTGCTGATACAAAAATTAAGCTTCATTCTACATCTGACTTGTACATTGCTTAACTTGGATGTGTTGATGCCGCCACTAAATATTAAAAGTGAGTAAATGTACTATTCCACAGAGATGACATCTGTCCAGATTTAAAATTCACTTTTAGGAGGAAAGAAGGAAAGTGGAATATGGGGGTGGGGGGGAAGAAGAGAACCAAAGAAAATATCCATCCTGTAAAACATTAGAATACATTAGAATATACAGAACAGAAACAGGCCATTCGGCCCAACTGGGCTATGTCGGTGTTTATGCTCCACATGAGCCTCCTCCTGCCCTTCCTCAACTAAGCCTTCAAGCATAACCTTCTATTCCTTTCTCCCTCATCTACCTATCTAGCTTTCCCTTAAATACATCTATGCTATTTGCCCAAACAACTCCTTGGGTAGAATGTTCCACATTCCCACTACTCTCTGTGTGAAGAAATGTTTTCTAACTTCCCTATTTGATCTATTTGTGACTATTTTATATTGATGACCCCTGGTTTGGGTCTCCCTCACAAGTGGAAACAGCGTCCCTATGTCTACCCTATCAAAACCTTTCAAATTTTAAAGACTTCTATCAGGTCACCCCTTACCCTTCTCTTTTCAAGAGATAAGAGTCCAAATATGTTCAGCCTTTCCCGGTAGGTATAACCTCTCAGTTCTCGGATCATCCTTGTGAATCTCCTTTGCATCCTTCTATAATGTGGGGACCAGAACTGCCCACAGTATTCTAAGGGTGGTCTAACCAGATTCTACAGCAGTTTACCATAACTTCCCTGCCTTTTCATTTCTATCCCTCTAGAAATGAACCCCAATGCTTGATTTGCTTTTTTTATGGCCTTATTAACCTGCGTTGGTACTTTTAGTGAATTGTGTATGTGTACCCCTCGGTACCTTTGCTCCTCTACAATCACCTCTTATTTGCCTTCAATTATCTTTGAAGCAAGTCAAACAGTTTATACACTACAATGATAATAATCATTGCATTCAATATAGCACCTTATCATATCTGTTCTTTAATGATAAGTGGAAACTTACTTGTACCCTCAATGAGCAACTCTTGACCATGACTTCCCAGAAGAGTGCGAGAAAGAAAAGGTGCAAAGTCCACAAAAATCTCCCTCAGAAGAGGTGCAGTCTTTTCCAGTGCTCGTTCCAGTCTTGCTGTGATACTGAACAGATTTTTTTTTGAAAAGGGAAGTTAATTTACATTTTGAACTACTTGCAATATAGTATCAACTTAAATGTTAAAAAAATCTAATCTTAAATTATTTTATTAAGATACCATTTGGAGATAGAGATTCTATTGCAATTCGTTTAATAGGATATTGCTCCCTTCCAAGTGGTTACTAAATGCAACAGAAAGACACCATCATATCAAAAATGTATTACAGCCTAATTTTATACTGTAACAATCAAGTTTCAATAAACACAATAGAAATTCTTTTCATAAGATCAAATGAAAAAATCCCTTTAAAACTGCCAATAGAATGGGGGAAGTAAAAAATTGCAACATGAAAAATATTTACCAGAAGATAATAAAAGTTATTACCTCATATTTGCAGCCGAGTCCTCTGGCATTGGGGACACTGTTTGAACAGATGGCAGTTTAGAGTTGGAAGGTCCGCCACCTAAGAGAATTCAATTGGGATGTTTACTGACAAAAATCAATCCCACACTGTTTTTTATTCAATAACATTGAATAACATTATGGTCTCTTAAAAAAAATTTCTATCAGGTCACCCCTTACCCTTCTCTCTTCAAGAGATAAGAGTCCAAATATGTTCAGCCTTTCCCGGTAGGTATAACCTCTCAGTTCTCGGATCATCCTTGTGAATCTCCTTTGCATCCTTCTATAATGTGGGGACCAGAACTGCCCACAGTATTCTAAGGGTGGTCTAACCAGATTCTACAGCAGTTTACCATAACTTCCCTGCCTTTTCATTTCTATCCCTCTAGAAATGAACCCCAATGCTTGATTTGCTTTTTTTATGGCCTTATTAACCTGCGTTGGTACTTTTAGTGAATTGTGTATGTGTACCCCTCGGTGCATTATTTGTTCAGAATTAATAGATGGGTGGTACTTATTCTTGTATTACGTAACTAACAGCAGAAAAGATGCAGCACTCTGATCTGCTATCCCGCGTGAAAGATGCTATATAAATGCAAATTGTTATTGAAAATACAAGAATTTCAATATGGTAAGGGAAACAGAGTTGCAAAATAAAATTTATGCAGGAGCTTAATCAAACAGGGACGAGTATTAGACATCCAAAATGTTTAACAAAATGGTTGTATTTTTCCAAGAACAAAAAAATATACACCTTACAAAATTACAGAGGAAGAAAGATGAATGCAGCATTGGGTAGCACGCTCGTGATCTTACGTGACCAGAAATCATGAATCATCACAGAACATTACATTCTGTGTCTTCACCACCTTTCATCTCTTCATAGTCACTAACCAGTTGAAGGGTTTGTTTGGCACTCTCTTGCCCCCAAAACATTTTTAGGCAAACACAAAACCATAGTCACTGGAAACAGACTTAAAAATGTACTAAAATTTTTTGGGGGGGAAGCTAAATGGTGTGCAACAATTTTGAAAGTGAGCAGCCGTCAGTAGAAGTGAAAGCAGTAGCACAATAATAATATTACTTGCATTTGATACAGTGCCTTATCACGTCTTCGAGACTTCTCAAAGCTCCTCACAGAATATACAGAATATAAAGTGAATTGACTGTATATTTTGTGGGTGAAACTCGGCAGCTAAATGTGCACAGCACAGCAATAGCCTAGAGAAGGAGAGGTTGGCTGAAGGGGAGCACGACCGCCAGCAAAATGTTTAGCAGCCATAACCATTTAACAGTCAAGGTTTGTGAAGAGCTAAGAAACTTCAGGGATTACAGGGAAGTATAAATTCCAGGTGCATTCTATGATTCTATCAGTTTCTCCACGGCTCCAGAATATTAGTGGCTCTGAATATAGCACATATGATATTGATACTTAAAAAAACATTGAATAAAATACTGTGATCCCCTCATTTTGTTCTCTTAACTGGCCAATGATTTTTAATAGTTTAAACTATTTTCATGCTAGTTGATTCATATAAATATATTCTTCAAATATATATGGGAAAGAATTTGTAAGTTCAAATATATATGGGGACCAGTTTGTAAGAACATACACTGATTTTTCTCATCCACACCCTTGAAATTCCCATTCCACCAGAAGTATGTGTGATGAAATTAAAATCAAAAATTCCTTTGCAGATTCACAACTTTTAAACTGGTCACATGGGAGACAAAGCTTTTATTAGTTCAGGCCTGCAAGAGGTAATGATATTAAAATCTATTCAATTTGAAACGTGATGTGATACATTCCTTTAGAAACTAGCTGAAACTTGATTTATAGATCAAGCCAGCTTTAAGAAAAGCACGTAGCACCATGAAGTGAAGTGCCAAAAAAGTATAGTACATCAAAAATCTCCACTATGTATATATTTATGTATTCTCAGATTCGGTTTTAAAAATACTATGCTGACCTGGTGAAAAACAATTGTATCTTGTTGCTAGATAAGAAACAAAACAAAATCACAGTTGGCTCATTAACATTGCTTTCCATAACTTAGAAACAGGCATCAGGCATCAGAGAATCCATCTTCTGATTTTCTGAACTGACACTCCAAGAATATTTTTTTTCAATTTTAGGCTATTCAATTATTTCAAAGCTCCATTAATATAACTCATGGAATATTAAATCATAATTGTCGAATTCATAATATTGGCTGGGATCTGATTTGAAGTTATTCAAATGCTGGCTTAAATTAAAATGTTAATATGAAATGCAACACTGTCTTTCTATTAATTATAGATCTATTCAAACCTTCTAGCTGTGAATTTGATGACTTCATTGTATTATTACAATTATACATTTCCATTTCTAATGAATGTCTCTGCCTGACAGGGATAAAGTAGCAGTTTGAGACGACATAGTTGTACAAAATGAATATCAACCTACTGCGTTTTACATTTATCTTTTGATCAGATCATCGGTGTGATTTCAATAGATAGCCAAAAATTTCAAAAGTTTACGCTGCACTATACTTGCTGCATTAAACCACAATTATAAACACACAGGTCTGACTGATATAAACTCCGGGCAATGATTTGACACTTTGAGGCGCTTGGGACATCCTCCCAATGTGAAAGGCACTATACAAATGTAATTTTTATTAAAAATAAAACAAATGTCTAATGAGTAAAGGAATCATAAATTCTAGCACTAACTCTAATGTAATACAGGGTGACCAAAAGTTGTGATAACTACCCTATTATCTAAAAAAATACATATCTTTTTTTTAGATATCAGACATTGCAGTGGTATTAAGACTTTTTGGTCACCTTGTAAAATCCAATAGATTATTGAAATGAAAAGTACTTAAGATACACGAGCAAGATGTGTAGAGTGATCGAGTCACACAAGGGTTTTAAAAGCAATTTAGCATCGGTATTTGGGAGGGAAGCAAAAAAGAAAGTTGTCATCCTATTCCAAAATTATAACAAATTATATGAAACGTGACAGTCAACTGGTTCAAAACAAATTCCCATGTTCCATTCATGAAAGTAAATCATATTTAAAAAATCCAGACAGATTGACGCAAAACAAGTAAACACCGCTAAATGCAGTAGCCCCATCAAACATGTACAACTAAATTGGCTTATCTACCATTAATCCTTTACTGATAAACTGGCTCCTTCTGAATGACAGTTTTACAGACACTCATGGAGACTTGAAAGAAAACACAAATAGGTCAGCTGTCTAGAATCCTCCTCAAGAAAGTCCATTGTTTATACAAATTCATCCGGGACTAATCTAGTAATAGCACCACTGCCCAGGGATAAAAACAGGGAGCAAATTTTGCCATTTGTGTTAGTTCTGAGAACATTAGGATAATTGTCATAGGTCTGTTTAATGTCAAAAGGGTTTAGAGAACCATGCAGATATCAAAACATACCACACTGAGAAAAATGTAGTATCTATTTAAATGTTAGGACTATGAACTAGAAAAAGAATATTTTAAATCTAAAATGTTAACTTTCACCCACAAAACATAGTCAATTCATTTTACTGTGAAACGCTTTGAGGAGTCTCAAAGACGTGATAAGGCGCTATATCAAATGCAAGATTTATTATTATTAATTTACATTTATACCACTGAGGCTGGCTCAGTTGGTAGCACTCTCGCCTCAAAGTCAGAAGGTTGTGGGTTTGAGCCTCATTTCAGGACTTAGGACTCATATAGGCTAAGCCAGGGTTGGTATTTACTTACCGGGAACAAGAGACCAAGGGGAGGTGAGCCCGTACATCCCGAGCAATGTGCTGACATGCATTTTCTACAAGGACGATGGTGCACATGGGACATTAATGTCTGGTGGGGGAGGGGGGAGGCGGGCAATGCGAATTGTTGAAGGTGCCGTCCTTAGGGTGACACACGAAACTGAAGACCTGTCTGCATGTTGAGGTAACGTTAAAGATCCCATGGCAATATTCGAAAAGAGAAGGGAGTTTCTCCCGAAGTCGTGGCCACAAATATTGGTCATTCACTTTATGGCTCGATGTGGGACATTGCTGTTCTGAAACTGGCTGCCATGTTTATTCACAAAAACGGTCAATCCACTTTATTTCATAAGGGATGTCCTCCTGACGTGAAAGGCGCTATACCAGATGTAAGGATTATTATTATTTTTATTATTTCACATCACTATGTGAAATATCCTGTAGCTGACTGGGTGAGGTCTTTATATCTGAAAATATTTAATTTAGGAGAACAATCCATACACAAAAGTTATGGATTTTACAAGCAGGGTTCGGATAAAGAAGGTCCTTCAGCCCATTTGATCTCCTCCTTCCAGAACACCCTCCATGCAGCATTAAGCTGTTTTTTAAACGAGTCCAGCATCCTGGCCTCAACCACCTTTCCTGGTAACCTGCTCCAGTCGTCAATTACTCCTGGCGTTAAGGGAGATATCCTTGGAACTGAACTGACTCCAAAGTGACATGCTTGGCAATGGAATGTCAGAATCAAGACAGCCCTCTGTGGTGGTCTCAGTAGTCTGGTTCCTGAGCCAGATGAGTCTGCAGTATTCCAGGGCACTGCTGATGACAGCACAGCCAGCCTCGCTCATCGGGAGGACTTGGAAGGGCAAACCAGTCATTGGGGCAGGGAGTCATCTAACTCAGCTCCTGTTAACCCAGCAAGCCAAAGCTCTAACTGGTAGGGTGGTCCTCGCCGGACAAGTGGGAAAGCTTGCTAGACAGCAATAACGCACCTTGGCTCTTGCCAAACTGCGCCTATTGCTTTCCGGAATTAGGTAAGCAGGATGTGTCCCTCCAGGGAGAGAATGTGCATTTCATTCCAACAATCCATCTCTGGAATTTCCATGCGTAGGTGGGATGCATGGAATTCTCAGTTTGGTTTAAATACTCTTAAGCATGGGTTTCCCCATGTGTCAAACAAGCATTCAAGGATTCTACCCTGTGTGGGGGGCGCTATATAAATGCAAGCTGTTGCTGCTGCTGTTGTTGTTGACCCATTAAACAAAGGGTCTGTCCTCAATTGCACCAACCCTAAACCCATTTTTTGCTTGGCCACCACTAGCCTACTCCATTTCCCCCACACTACCCGTCTCAATCAACGGACAATCCTTCAGCAAATTGGCATTCACATTTTGGAACGCCATTTCCACGTCCTTCCAACTTGCTCTCTCTGTCCCTCCTTGTATTTCAAAGAGTGCATAATCACATCACTAAAACATTCAGTCTAGAAGATTTATTGTGTAGCAATCATATAATCCTGTATATTGTATAGTGGAGTCCTGCAGCTCAGTGGTTAGAGCACTCACTTTGCAAGTGAGAGACCTGAGTTCAACTCCAGACAAGGCAAAACCTTGGGCAAGTTTCCTTACTCCACACAGAGCCTAATAATAATCCTTCCAAAAAAAACAAAACAATAATAAATTGGTCATTTTCAATCTACGACTGTTTGTGGGACATTGCTGTGCGCAATTGGCTGCCGCGTTCGCCCACAAATATACAGTCAATTCACTTTACAGTATATTCTGTGAAGCGCTTTGGGACGTCTAGAAGACGTGAATAGCTCTATATCAAATGCAAGGATTATTATTATAGTTTAAGGTGAACGTGGCAGCAATTTGTGCACACTAATGTCCTACATATAGCCATGAGGTTAAATGACCAATTTTATCTTGGGAATTGTTGGCCATAGTACTGGGAGAAAACATCCCTGATCACCGCAGACACAGAACCTAAGCATGCGGGTCCAATCTCTGCCAAGGACCCACTTCAGTCACAGGATTGGATGTGAGGCCTATCCTGCGATTGGCCCTCCATAGACCAGTGGTCTCCGCGATGCAATGATGCTAACTTCCTTCCCCATTCATATGTGATCATTGCCGATCAATTTTACATTGAAATACTTGCAAGAATTTCTACAAATACAACTGGTTACATGTTAAGCAGTGACAAGGAAAGTGGTGTCCCTTATTTATAATTTATATAGGAAGTGGTGGGGATATTGACGACATGATGACTTAAGTGATAGAAACAAATTAAACCAGATTCAGGTTAGCCGGAGTTTACTGTACCCAACAGTTTAAGGAAAAATCACTTGGAAACCAGATATTTCACTTACTTGTAGGTTCAACAGCAGGTTCCTCTGCAGAGTCTGCAGTAGAAACTACACTCACAGCATCTGTAGTAGCAGGAGTACCAGTTCCAACAGAAGCCGTTGTTTTCTTAGGAGCTACCACAACACTCCTACAAATTTCAAACAGTAAAAATAATGATGTTAGAAAAGCAAGGAAATGGACGAAAAAGTGGATTTGTTTGTTTTAAAGAAATAACTTTAGGGTTAGTATAATACACTGCATAGTGTATAATAAAATACTGTATTTTATGTTCCATTATTTAACACATCTGACCCTGCGGAAAATGAAAGCTCCTAAAGAGCATTTATAATGATGCAAAAAAAAACGACTAATTGGGTAAATGCTTAGTTGATAAATGTTGGAATCCCATAACAGTGCTTATTGTTAATTATCTGGTGTTAACTGTACGTCTAGACAATACTTAATTCTGGAAGCAATTTGTGCAGTCAATTCTTCCACAAACACAGATGAATGCTCCCACTATGACATTTATTTCAGCAGTTTTAACTCCTGGGATGAAAAGCTTAGCCAAAGAAACAAAATGGTACAAAAGCCATTCACAGAAATCAGTTTCTTCAGTTCAATACAACCAGATTGTTAATTAATGCCAGACCCCATTATTTCTCTGGTTTATTGGCTCTTCTCAACTAAAGTTTTAAAATGCTTTTTTCCAATAGTGACCAAAACAAACATCATTGCCAGTATGTATTTAATTTTCAAACTAACCTACAATTACCTTTCTAATCTCATTAAACCTCCAGTATAAAACCTCAAATATTATTTGTGTAGGATTTAAAATAACTAAGACTGATTATTTAACACCATTTTCTAAAGTGTAAATGGAAAGATCACAAATAAAGATACTACCAAGTTAAGATTTAAATCTACAGAGCATAAACTTGCAAGTTTCCTACATTATCTCCACACAAAATACTTCAGATAGATGTTTGAAGTTTTGTAGAATACTGGACAACTGTTATTAAGTGGAGCATATTTAGTCAAATAGTGAGCTGTTCACGCATCATACACTTCATATTCTGCACATTCAATTCTTGCACAAGTGAAAATTCTAAACAAGTTCGACATTAAACAGTTTGCGAAAGCGTGCTTCTCCAGGATTGAAAGATACATTGGAGTAGCTACCACAAATCTCACAAATCAAGGTGTGAAATACTGGCATTCTTTCACTCACTTGTGTAATAGACCAGCTAAAGTGATTTTCCCCCAAGATTGCACACTTGAGAAACTATCTCTGGTGCTGGGCAATTCCAAATGCACTTTTCTGCTAATTATAATCTGTTTTAATATTTAAGAAGCAATAAAAATCAATCGTTTAACACAGCACAAGGAGAAATAAAGGAAAATAAAGTTGTTTTATACACGCACTTTAGTTATTCTGTGTGCATACACCATAACTTCATAAACGTTTGCATTGTATAGTTTCTACCCTTTTTTCTCTTGCCTTTTTTCCTTCCTTTCTCGTTTCCATTATTTAGCACCCCCCCCCCCCCCACACACACACACATACACACAAAGAGAGAGTTGTGCTATGCAGAACATTTTCAATGAGAATCTTATCTGGAGTAGATAAGATGAAACACTATAATCTAAGGCAGTGGAGTCAGATTTGAAAGCAGTCCTTGAGAGCTGAGGTTGTATATTCCAGTAGCTATGCAAATTAACAATCTGGGAAAATCATTACTAAAAAGCACATCACCAAAAAAAGCAGATATTCTTTTTAAAAAAATCTAATTCATTTCAGATCTATAAAAGCAGACCACCTGTTTTCTCAAGGAGCAGTATTCAGATCTAAAAATGTGAAATAGAATATTTTACCCTCATCTCTCCAGAGAACATTTTTATTTTAAAATGATTACAACAGTGTGGTCTTAACTCAGTCAGACTAACATTCCTCTATTCAGTCTCCTGGTCTGGCACAACGACAGATGTGGTAGACAGTCCATCATGTCTGTCATTGTACCACATGCTGCCTAGGAAATACAGGGCAGCAGGGGTGCTCCACAGCTTTTCATAATATTGATTTCACGAAGACAATGAAAAAAACAAAAGAACACTTCAATTTAGCAGGTAGACTGGTAACAGCAGTCATAATATTAATTATTACACTAACGATTCTTCCCTAAGGCATACTGTTCAGCTTTAACCTGAGTATTCAGCTTTTGAGGCATATATCACATACTCTGCACCTTAAAAATATAACGATGAACATTGGTTTGCTATGGATTCAAACAACCAATTACATTAAAATTCTAAAGTATATTTATGTCTAACCATTAACCTGAAGATTTCCTTTGCTGTACAAATAATTCTGGTTAATGTTAAGTCTTCCTCAAGTCTAACTACATTTGCTTTAGATTTTTATAACTATCTACTTCAAGCCACGGTTTTGCTGGTTAGACCTGACATAGCATGAAACTCCATCATGACAACATCTCATACCCGGCACCTATACACCAATAATGTGGATTCTCACATCAGATCAGAGAAAATATAGGCTTGGGAATGAAATAATGTGCACCTCGCTGTTTAAAAGTGGACCAGATTTGGGGGATTTTCAGCAGAATGCATTCACTAGCTGTTACTGTATGGTTTCCAGCTATGGCTGGCAGTAGAGGTTGATAATCCTTAAGATATGAGGAGAGTTCTGATTCCTGACAAGGCATTCCTCAGATAAATGCAGGATCAGAGAGATTCTTTGAAATTCCCATAGATATTACATTGCCAGGCTACTGCATGGAGCCTGGATTTAACGAAGTGTTGTTCCAAGAGATACATTAACTTGCTGACTCACAAAGTAATGCTTCTGGTACTGGACAGTGAATTAAATACAAACCAGATACTGAATTTCCATGCCTAGTCCTGCTGTCTGAACACAGAAAATTGCTGATTATGATTAAATCATTCTCAACCTTTTATGAATAGTTACAAATTTCTTCATCTGTTACTTTAATACATCTTTATACAACCTCAAAATTGTACTTTGAAACGTTCAAATCATCTGATGTCTGATGAAGAAAACTTTCCTAGTTTATAAAGATCAAGTATTAAAGTAAGAAATGACAATAGGGCACAAGAAGGTTTCAAATGAAAAAGACCCCTAGACCCATTCATCTCATCCTTCCAGAAATATCCACCCTGCAATTTTTCAATTGCAGTATAAAGTTGCTCTTAATTTCCTGGATCCTACCATCTTTCCTGGCATCCAATTCCGCCTGTTAATTACCATCTGGGTAAATAAATACTTTGATATTTGCTCGAAAATTGGCCTTCACAACCTATATCTGAAAATATTATTATGACCACATCCATAATCTTCATCTAGCATCTCACATACCCCCATGAGCTCCCCTCAGGGAACTACTTTGAAGGCTCAAGCACTAGGTTATCTAATTGTTCTTCATAGTGCTTCTGTCAAACAGAGGATCAGACTTCTCTAGGGGTAGTACAAAGGAGAGCCCCATAATGCCAAGTCAACCAACTGTTCCCAAACACCAATGCCATTTTTGAAACATCCACTGAATGACACATGACAACAGTTTTGTGATAACTCGTCTCCAATTTTCACATCCCAAAAGGCAGATGCCTGCCTCCCAGTCAGACCTGCTCCAAAAGCGGCAGAATCAAAGTCAGCAACTCTGCTAAATTGTGGGCATGACCTTCCCTTCTACCACCACCCCAAACATGATGTCTGATACCTACTCCTACAATGAAGGTGTTATTTCAGACAATATTTTTGATTGCTCAGTTTCTTAACTGTACTACCCTGCATGGAAGAATCTAGTATGGTAATTTGTATTACTTTTAAAATCCATTATATTGCCCAGTGACAGAAATATAGTAGACATTTCTGAGGCAGGCTTTGAGAAACAAGTTTATTGTTAAAATGCAAAGGGGTAAAAGAGGACAAGTTAAAATTAAAATATTACTAAATGTTACCTATCTTACTTAAAAAAAGGTGACTATTGTATATTTACCTGTCAAAGGAACGAAACTGGACTGATGACTCTGCTGCTGAATCCCCAATCACTCCTACAAAGGTTGGTCCAACAAATGCCATATCTGCTTCAAGACTGCCCGTAGGCGTGTTCACCAGGCTTCGCAGAATGTCTTTAACACTGACATTTTTGCCCTGGGATCCAGTTGGTACAGATGGGGTTATCTTAATTTCAGAATCCCTTCCAATTTCACTTTTACCTTCTTGTGAGTGCGATTTCTTAACCTCTGAGGAAAGGGTCGACAGCAGTTCACTCATTGCATCAGGACCAGCACTAACAGTCTCAGGCTTTGCTCCCAAGTCACTGACTGAACTTGGTTCTTCTCCAATACCAGAGTCTCTTCGAAATTTCGCAACTGGGGCATCGTTACTCAGTACTGAACTGGCTGCTGCACCCGATAAGCCTTCTGCAGATGAACAGAGAAACAAGTTCATTACAATCTTTAATCAATCAAGCAATCAGCAATTGTGTTCTCAAGTTAAATGTTGGTCAATTACCCAGTATCTTTCAAAACCATTGAGGGAGGCCAGGAAAGAAGAAAAAAAATATATATTTTTAAATTTGGCTTTCTTTATAAATTTAGGAAAGTATTCTGCTGGCCAAACAGATCTTAAATATGGAAATATCAAATCATCACAGTACTAAACTTTCATTGTTCTTTTTCTTTCAATACAAAGCAAAATAGCTTTTTGATTGTATTATGGGCTTTTGTAGCTGTCATATACAGTAATGCTGTTTTGAAGGAAGGATTTAAAACTAAACAGCATTACCATATTTTCTCACCAATTCCAACCCATAATTTCAAGGTGCAAAATCTGATGATAAACTGATAATATTATTAATTATATATATATTATATATAAAATTCAGGATTAAGTGAATCAATACAGGTCTAAGAATATGAATTCCCAAAACATTTATTGAAATAGATTCTTTCAGATGTACGTCAGTGCTAATATTTTCAGTGCAATTGAATCCTTCACACAATCAACTTTTAAGCCCAATTTTTACAGTTTAAGTTAAATTATAAATAGAACTGGCCATATTCGCACAGTACATCAAAAGTCCAAGCTTTAGTGGCTAAGACATCTGCTCAGTTCTTGTTCTCAGCCATACTCCATTGGGAGGTGCCAAATGAAGGACAGGAGAGTAGGAACTATAGATGGCAATACATCAGCTCCTGCTCTTCAAAAAAATGGCAAGAATGTCATCAAAGACCTAGCTGGAGGTCACCTACTAGGCCCTCTCTGCTGCATCTCATACGTACTCTGGCAAGATCATAGTAAGAGAAAGCAAGTTTAAAAAATTGGTACAAATCATCACCAAAAATTCTGGTTGTACACATGATGGGTTACCATCTTCAGAATTAAATACTTTAATATGTTAAAATGCTCAAAAGAAAAGTATGCAACTGTTTCCTTATCTGTTCTAGTTGGTGTGCACGTACATGCTAAGAATGAGGTCAACATTTTGTGCAAGCAGTATTGCAAACCAAAAATCAACTGAAGGAAAGTTATCCTGTGGCATTTTTTATACAATACAGTATACATTTATATAGCACTTTTCATGTCATGAGGACATCCCAAGGAGCTCAACAGTCCTGGCTTGGCATCCCAGCTTGGGATGGGAGCAGAGAGAGGTGGGAAGGGTAAAGTGACTAAAGGCACAGTCAAAGAGGAAGATCTTGAGACAGACCTTGAAAAAGGTGAGGAAGGGTGGGAGGGGGGGACTCCAGGATTATTATTCATTATAGGGCAGTGTAAACTGAAAGCAAACAACAAGTGGTACATAAATCTAACCTGTGGTTGATACACTATCGTTCGTATTCTCAATGCTTCTGATTGATTGGCTGCGCGACAGCCTCCTGTCTTTCTGAGGCTCTAGGATTTCCCTGTATTTTGATACCATCAACACTGAGATAAAATAAACTACAGCCAAAGCCAGAAACTGGGCTTGTTTGCTGTCCTCCTGTAAAATATTAACAAAGTAGATTAAAATCCTTGTGTACATAGGTTAACTTCACATAAATCTTACATGGGAATAACCAAAATTAAGCAATATATTTCATGAGTGAGTCCCTTCTTTACACAATAGTTATCTGAAAATAAAAATTAATGCAATTTAATTTTAAATACTGCCCCTAATATATTGGAACAGTGATCATGAAGGATTCTTAAATATCAAATTCTGTCAGTAACCAGAGGTTACCCTGACCCATAGGACTCCACTCCAATAAGCCCAGAACAAAACTGTATTGGAGTTGAATCCTGTTATTTGAAGGATTTAATATTTGTAACAACATCAAATTACATTTGTAGGTCCCAAGGTGCTGGACATTAGGGATTTGGACCTGAGTAGGGTGTTGGGATCAGGTGGGGTGGAGGGCAGGAAGGGTAGGAGTAGGACACGTTTCAAATCTAATTGTTGAACACCTCAATTTTGACCACATATCAGCTAATCTAGGAAAATATTGGAATCCTAATAAAACTTTTTGCTTTATTTACAATAATAAAATTAATCCTCGCATTTGACATAGAGCCTTATCACGTCTTCGAGACGTCTCAAAGCGCTTCATAGAATATACTATAAAGTGAATTGTCTGTATATTTTGTGGGAGAAACGCGGCAGCCAATTGCGCATAGTAGTGGCACACAAACAGTTGTGGATTGAGTAACCAATTTATTATTATTATTATTTTGACGTAATTATTACCCCTGAAAAAGCCATTCGCCAATCGACTAACAACCGGGTTCCTGCTTACTGCTAGATAAACAGAGGTGTGTGGAGGAAGGAAACTTCGTCCTGCCAGGAATCAAACCTAGGTCTCTTGCTTGCGAGGCGAGTGCTCTAACCACTGAGCTGAAGGACTCCATTTACAACGAACAGCTTGCAATTATATAGCACCCTCCACACAGGGTAGCATCTCAGAGCGTTTGAACAATTTAAACAAATGATCAAAGACAAACCTAGATTTTTAGGTTTGCCTTTGCAAATATTTAGCTAAGCACTCCACAACACATTTTAATACAGCAATCTAAACCAGAAATCTAATATTTGAGAAGACATGCTACCTAATATGAGACAACTACTATGAAGTACACATAGGAGACTGCTGCTATGAAATGTACAGTATAATGCCTTGGCACTTCCATGTGGTACAAACTGAGAAGGAGCAAAAAAGAGGATCTGGATCAACACTCTGCCTCATTATCTAATGCTTCTACACTTATAATACCCACATCACCATTTCCATGCAAATCCTTCGTTCCCACCCCATGGGAATGTAGCTTCTTCCTTCCATTTAGCAACCCTGACAGTCAAGCCAAGAATGGAAAATTCAACGTAAATCAATATGCAATGCAGTGAATTAGTCACTGCACAAGTGAGCCACCTTAACATTCTAACTCTATTCATAAACAACCTCAAAGAGCCGAACCCTACATCAAGTCCAGCTGTGGGGAACAGTAAGCCATTAGTACAGCTGGTCATACATTTCTTTTTGGTAAATCAAAGTAACTGAAGACCATGCAAAGTGAAACTTACTACATCTCTGAACACAACTGCTCGCAGGCGATTGATATCCATATCTTGTAGTAACCTGTCGAGATCTCTTATTGGTGAAATGCCACCTGTTACAGCGTCAATAGGGCTCTAAAACAAATGGAGAAACATTAAAAATCATTGTTCATATTATATTTGTATTTGGATGGGTAAGGTTATGGAAAAGGAACAGAATTCTGCGTGTAAAAAAACATTCTAAGTAGTTTCAATTCATTGCAATATATTCTGAGTTTAAGCAGGGAGGGAGGGAGAAGTAGAGTATAAATGGATCACCGTTCTTTCATCTTAGACATGGGTATCAATCCAGGAAACACTAACAAGGTCAGGTTATGTTGTGATGCCTTCTATAACTGAATGGCCTGCCAACACTCACTGCAAAATTCACTCAGAAACAACAGCCATTTGAGGAGGTAGCAAAGGGAACCAATGCCCGTACCTCACGAAGAGGAGGCCAAACTCGGAGCAGAGACACAAATTTGGGAAGAAATTAGAAAAATAAATTAACACAAAATTTTAATAAATTTAATTTTGTTTTTAAATTAAGACTCAATCTTGGTGTTCGTGGGCTGAGGAAAGAGAAGATTACAGCATTTCACAGTGCATGCATTAGTGATAATTTTCTGGTAATCTGTTTAAGAATTTCACAATTGTTAATATTTTAGCATGCACAAATACCCAAGAGCTCCACAGTATGAAAAGCAAGATTACAGAAGGAGATTAATTTCAAGCAATATCAATAACAACAAAATCACATTTGTATAGCGCCTTTCACGTCGGGAGGACGTCCCAAGGTGCTGGACCATCAGTGTTTCAGACCCGAGCTGGGGGGAGGGATCGGGGGGGGAGGGCTCAGGGGGAAGGAGGCTGATCGAAGAGGAGGGTCTTGAGACAGGTCTTGAAGGAGGCAAAGGAGGGGGTGAAGCAGAGGGACTGCGGGGTGGAGTTAAAGAGAATGGGGGCAGAGTGGCTGAAGACCCGCCCCCCCCATAGTGGGACGAGCGAGGCGGAGGATGTGAAGCAGGCCGGAGCCCGCTCAGCAGAGGGAGCGGGCAGGTTGGTAAGGGGTTAGGAGGTCACAGAAGTAGGGGGGAGCAAGGCCATGGAGGACTTTGAAGGTGAGGACCAGGATTTTGAACTGTACCCTATGTGTGATGGGAAGCCAGTGGAGTTGGGTGAGGTTGGGGTAATAGGGTCACGGAGCCTGGTGCGGGTTAGGACACAGGCTACAGAGTTCTGGATGATCTGCAGCCTATGGAGGGAGGAATTGGGGAGGCCAATAAGCAGGCAGTTTGCATAGTCAAGCCTGGATGTTATGAATGCGTGTATGAGAGTCTCGTCGGCCTATCATACAGGAGAGGCACACAGAACAGTGATAAGCCACTGAACTTGTGGTACATAATGAACTTCTTGTGACATAAACCCCTGTCATCTCTCAGGTATTTTATTCAACTCCCAGCAAGTTCTTCATTCATGCTGCTGCAAAAAAAGTCTCAATGATGTAATTCCCTTCTGCAGAACAGAATGGTGAAATGTGCAAAAAACATTCATAAACTGTAGTTCGTTGCTGATCTCAGCCCGCCAGAAAAAATTAAAGGCTTGGCCAACCCATCCTCTTACACAATTCCTAAAGGATGCCACAACACAGCAGTGGCTTAAGGACTTGTTTGTTACCACATCAACTGTTTCATGTCCCACACCTGATCTGTTCACCATCAGTTGGTGAGTTTTCATCTATGCTGCCCTCTGGAACTCCATCCTGGAGTATCTCCACCTCACCTCCTCGTATAAAGACTGGTTGAAGAACTTTCTCTTTGACCACACTTTGGTCATCTTTCTCCCCTTACCCCCAGCTCAGGCTCATAGTTGGCTCTTTGAAGTACTTTGAGATATCCTCCCAACATGAAAGGCTTTGTATCAATGTAAAAGTGATGACGTCATCAACGTTGCATATTTTTGTCTGAGAATGGTAGAGGAGGAATAGGCAGAACTTTATTGCTTAATAAAGCCTGAGTGAATGGTTTTGAAGAACATCCACTATAGGTAGGAAAGATTCATCGTAATGAATCTGTTCTTCACTTAAATCAAAAAATCTTTTAATACTGCATCTAGATCCAAACCACCCCAGTACTAAGTTGCTTCAGTGATATCAATGATGAGGAGTGATCACATGCCCTAGAAGGGTTCTTTAGGTTTAGCATGGCATAGGCACTTTGGACTAGGCTAACTTTCAATACAGAGCTGCCTAACCTGAGCAAAATTGGGGTCATGTTTTCTATTTCTGGTGGAAGCACAGTGAACAAGGTAATCCTTATAGATGATTTCCCTTTTAATGCAATGTTATATAAATGTTAAAAATGTATTGCATTTCAATTTTCTTGGATGAGTGTATTTTACCACTTTTTTCCCCATTATTATTTTATTATTATTTTAATTATTAATTCTCTGCTACAACTTAATTTGTGATAGAAAGCAAACATGATCTAGAGATGGAAGCTTTTAACCTACTTTCTCACAGATCAGTCTTTTGTTTATCTATCTCAGTGCTGTGTACAAACGAAACACTTACCTTTGCTGCCGATTTTCCAGCTCCAAGAACGTTTTGCATAGCTTTCTGAACCTTTCCATGATCAACACCAGCCTTCGGATGAGATACATGCTGGCATTCCAAACAGTTTCTGACTGCTACTGCACACACTGATTGGAGGAGCAATGAGAAACAAAAAAATTACGAGTACAAAATAAATTGGTGGGAGAAATTAATTCCGAATTAAATACAGAATCTGCAATCAGAATTCCACAAGTCAGCCTTCTATAGCTGTATTTTATTTTTGTTAAACTAGAATCTGCAAATTATGCTTGTTACAGGACTCTGCTTTGGCTGCAGGACACTATGGCAGTCCCAGCTGGTGAAACAATAATGGAGTGGTTTGGGCATCATAGTTGTAACTATGCATAATCCTTGCATTTTTGATATAGCGCTTTTCACGTCGGGAGGACGTCCCAAAGCGCTTCACAGAACACACTGTAAAGTGAATTGACTGTATATTTGTGGGCGAACGCGGCAGCCAATTGCGCACAGCACACATTGCTGTATACATTATGCATCCAACCTCTTGAGTCAATAGAATCACACTATTGGAAGATGCAATTTATGTGATCAGGTTATAGATCGTACACTGATTTTCTCTGAAACAGAGCACGGCTCAATATTCATGAACATGACATCAAGCAACACATATGTACTTGTTCTTGGACATTGGCTCTCAGTATTGGGAGAAACTGAAAGCACTCAATAGCTGACCCCAATTGACCAAATCTGTAGATCTCAATAGGCATTCCAATATGTACTTGGTCTCATGCCTTTTACTTGATTCCTTGCACCACACTACATTTCTGCTACCTTAGCATATGAACTTCATTCCACTACCACAGTTGTAAACCTATCATGTGAATCCAGCTTAATTTTTTTTGGAAAGAAAAAAATTTCCCAATCGATTAGTGAGAATAAAGGCACTGCCTGGTGCAATACTAAACCACAGGGATCAGAAGGTTGCAAGTATGATTCCCAGTCTGCAGTAAATTAGCTGATCACAGCAGGTGGAACATTGCAATTGGCTTTAGAGCCCTTGAGCTATGAAGAAAATTAGCCAGGGATATCCCTCCTAATTGTTATCTGGTAACATCCTGCGCCCCCCACCCCCTTCTCCCACTAGTACATGTGTGAACTTTGATGAGAACTAGATTAGGCTCACATGGCTAAATAACACTCATAACAAAGACATTTGGTGAACACTAGAAGACTGCCAGCATCAGTGGACCAATGCTCCAACAAGAGTCTGCACCTTCAGCAGAGAGGTAAGAAATCATGACATTTCTAAACTGCAAAGACATAACTCAAAAGAACTCTTTTCTCCTGATTCTGTACAAGTCAGATGTTGTTCAACTGTATATAGTACAAGCATAAATATGAAGAGTGCTCAAGAGTGCAGTACACAAACACTGTTTTCAGTTGAAAAGTACTGTATTAAATAGATCATATTGAGTGCAGCATTATACACACTTCTCAGGGATGTAACCTGACAATTATTAAAATTCAGAATACATGAATTCAACATCACGCTGCTTAGACATTTGTTGCTAACAAGCAAGGAAACAAATGTTTTTTTTAAATATGACAGGCAAACAATTAATGTTTTTTATACATCAGACACATGAATGATGTCAACTGTAAAACATTCAGACCAACCAATACAAGTCTAGTCAGTCTAGAACAGTTCCATCACAATTTTCATATATCCATTGAAATTTGAAACCATCATCTGAAGTACTGACACAAATATGATTCCTTGCAAGCCCTGCGGAATCTACCTTATAAATTTTTAATTGTATTAAATAAACTCGAAAGCACTGAGGAATACAGCAAAATACATTGCTATCCACTCCATTTTAATGGATTAAAAGAAAATGGAACAGTGACACTTCCATTCAATCATATTTTTACATCTCAGCGGTCAGGACTGTTATTTTCAATTCCTCTGTGTTTTATATTCTTCTAGTTAGTGACAAATGGGTTACGATCTTTTTATACATTAATGAAGAGATTTGAAATGGCATAGGTATTAAGAATCTTCAGGCCATACTCAAGACAATGTTCTTCTTTTAGATGTCCATCTGTCCTATTATAGCATATTTAAGTTGTAATATTGAGTTTCACAAGCTTTGTGGAAGCAACAATCTTTATCTACCTGAGGAGATCAATGAATCTCAAATTAACCCAGCAAACTGGAACAATGCCACACAGTATTGTGTGCCTAGAATCCTATTGCCTGCCTGAATGCAAATAGATAATGGTTCACGCTTAAATGCACATCTACATGTAAGGTTTTGTGTAACTACTGAAAATGTAAGCCATGGTGTTGTCACATTCCTTAACTGTATATATTCAATCCATAAGATTCTTCTGACAGTTTATAGATGAATTCAGTCTCAGAAAAAAAAGCTGCTAAATATTATTAATGAAGTTTAGCTTAGTTTTCAAAATTAAAGACTAAACAGTTCAATAGGTTTCAACAAGCATGCATTCAAACAAACACTGAACATAGATTCATGATTAGTTTATACAATGTTTTCGGGGATTGACATGCCACACCAGAGTTACCAAACCCTGAGATATGTGATATATATTCAAAGTAGCCAAAATACCATGAAATTCTTGAAAAAATCTTTGTACAAGAGACCCCTGTGTCCCACACCCAGTTTATAAAAACTTGTATTTTAGAAACAATTTTTTGAAGCATTCCTCTCTAACTATTAACAGTTTTGTGCTGGCAGCAGCACTCTGCTGATATAGGAGGCAACTCAGTATATTTAATAAATCAGTGATTATAACATTCACAAGGATTGGAGATTAAGAATTTTTTTAAAAAAAGCAATCTCAAGCATCAAAACAGAACATTTTGGTGAAGATTGCATGAATAATAAACAGATCAATGCTGAAAATCTAAAGTGAAAAAGATCAAATGCAGAAAATCCACAGCAGGTTAATAAGCATTTCCAAACGAAAAATAAGTTAATATCTGAGGTGTAATCCTTCATCAAAATTAAAGTAGCGAAGCCAAGACGAATAAGAATATTAGAAAGTTAAAAAATTAACAAGGAATGCACCTAATGGTATATTCGCATGGAGGAAAAGATTGATGACACAGACCTGCAAAAACAGAGGGTATTTAGTGCCCTTCCCATAGGGCAACATTTTGAAGCTCTGTACAATGACAGGGTTAGTGCTAACGAAGGGTTGAGTGGGGGGGTGACCAAACAATACAATAAAAAATTACATTTGTATAGCGCCTTTCACGTTGGGAGGACGTCCCAAAGTGCTGGACAGTCGGGGATTTGGACCGAGCATAGGGGGGTTGGGACCAGGGGAGGTGCAGGGCAGGGAGGGTAGCAGAGTGGCCGAAGGCACGGCGAAGACAAGGGTCTTGAGACATACCTTGAAGGAGGCAAGGGAGGGAGAGAGACAAAGGGAATGTGGAACTGAGTTTCATAAGAGGCTGAAGGCCTGACAGGCCGGGCGGGGGACGTGGAGCAGGCCAGAGTCTGCTAAGCAGAGGAAGCGGACAGGTTGATATGGAGTTAGCAGGTCGCAGAGGGCCTTGAAGGTGAGGACGACGATGTTGAACTCTATCCTCTGGGTGATGGTGAGCCAGTGGAGCCGGGCAAGGGTGGGGTTGATTGGGTCTCAGAGCCTGGTGCAGAAGAGGCCTCAAGCTAGAGTTATGGATGATTTGCAGCTTGTGGAGCAAAGGGTTGGGAAGGCCGACAAGCATGGAGTTGGCGTAGTCGAGCCTAGATGTGATGAACATGTGAATGAGGGTTTTGGCGGCCTGAGGGGTGAGGCAGTGGCGGAGCCAGGCAAATTTTGCAGAGCTGGGGGAATGCAGACAATCTCATGGCATGGATGTGGGGGAGAAAGGACAGTTGAGGATCAAACAAGACACCTAGGTTCCTGACTGGCTCAGTGAGGTGGAGTGTGCATCCTTGGATGGTGATGCTGTCAGTGCCTGAGGTATGGAGACGCTGACGGGAGCTAATCAGGAGGGCATCAGTATTGTTGACGTTCAACTGTAGAACGTTAGCTCTCATCCAGGACTTGATGTCTGACAGACATTCTGTCAGGTCAGCAGTGGTACTGGAGTCGAGGGTGGAGGCAGAGAGATAGAGATGGGTGTTATCCGCATACATGTGGAAGTTGACCCCATGTCTGTGGATGATATCATCAACAGGGAGCATGCAGATATTGAAGAGGAGGGGACCAAGGACACAGCACTTAGGAACACACACAAGACGGTGCAGGGGCTGAAGGAGATGTCACTTGTGGAGACAAAGTGGAGACGTTGTGAGACGTAGGATCTGAACCACTCAAGGACCATAAGCATTGTCGAAGAATTGGGTTTTACGGTGAGACTTAAAGATAACAAGAGTGAGAGGAAGGGAGTTCCTGAGAAAGGGGCAATACCATGGAAGAATTTATAAGTTATAAAGAAGACAGGCGAAAACTGCATAGACACACTGATTAAACAAGTGGGCAGATCTAAAGCAAAATGCAAAATTGTATACTTCTTATGGCAGAGTAGAGGTTGGAAGGGAATATGTTCTAAATGGGAAAGCACCAGGGGAGAAGATATGTAAAGAGATCTGGGGGTTCAAAAATCATAAAAATCAAGTTCACAATTGCAAAAAGCAGTCAGCAAGGCAAATGGGATGCTGGTATTTATTACAAGTGGTCTGGAATATAAAAGTGAGGAGGTGCTTCACGATCTACACAGAATGCTGCTCAGATGTTATTGGAGCCTCGTGTTCAGTTTTGGGCAGTCAATCCTAATAAGGGCAATATGAAACACCAGGGTTATTTCTTTGCACTTGTTTTCCAAATTGGATGAGATGGATCAACCACAAACAACATGTTGTCCCCAACCTGTGTGCTGAAATAAGTGCAAGGAGGTTTTAAATTACATTTTACCCCAAACCATCAATCAAACTCATTCTGGCGTAATCTTTCAAACAAACATTTAAACCTTTTAAAGCCTACAACTGCTGGCTATTTCCTTCATGAATACAGATACCAATTGAATTTTCCACCAAAGTTGGCTGATAGCCTGCAAAGGTCACATAACTGACGCTTATGAAATAACCTATGTAAAACAAGAAGGCTGAAAATGCAAATTCAACTCATGGAAGTACAGTATTTCAATGGATATACCCATTTCATTTAGCATAATACTGTTTTGAGATGAAAGGATTTCTGTGATTAAAGGAAAGAATTTCGATTTGGTCAAGCTTGTACTAATAGTCAGGCACTTGGAACTGTGCCACACCCAACTATCCCTAATCTTCAACTCCAGATCTTTATTGTACGCAATCTGGAAAAGTTGAGTAATTCTCAAGAGTGAGAAGGTTCCAGAATCAAATTTTCTTTTCCATTTGAGCCAAGATGTTTGTGGTTTTCTCCATTTAGATCCTATGGATTGAATTTGGGCAACAATGGAAACTTCCTATTCCAAAAGACTCTCTAGGTCTTAGCTCTCATGGCTCCCACAACAGTAGCTCTACAAGCCTCTGGTATTGAAAGGATAGCATTTCTGTCTAAATTCACGTTGTTGAAGATGATAAGAGCAGTTTAAGAATGCGGTATATTCCAATAGGTTGGACTTTTATCCTTTGTGAGGGCATTCACTGATTCTTTATGCACATCTGCAAGGTATAAAGGAAGAGAAGCCAAGCTTTGGTTGATGCATTGCCATACACACACACACACACACACACACACACACAACAGAAACAGAATAACTTCTGCCTTGCACATTTACATGTTACACAAAGTCACTGCTCCCCACCAAACTTGCATCAATTTGACAGTGCTGAGAATCATAATTCCACCTCGTCTTATCCTGGAAGAATATTTTTTCCTAAAAATTTAAGATTGTATAGAATTGTAAAACATTAAATACAGCCTTAATTTGGAAAACTTTTTTAAAAAAATACAGGAAAATAGCTTCCAAATTAAGCTGAATGTACAAATTATTCACAATTCTGCTCAATCTTAAATTTTAGGATAATAATAACAAATTACATTATGATCTTATACACAAAGACAAAGTTGAATTTCAGGTCTCCAAGTCTTTATATGCTAGTAGGCACACGGTTAGATTTACATTTTGAAGTTCATGCTCTTAGTAGATATGCCTCTTTATTCAGTGAGACTGCCCATCGTGAACAGATGGACAGCAACTGTAAATGCTGACTGCTCAGCACATTTTCTCAAGGCATCTGAAGCTATCAATCACTTTCTGATTTATATGAACATTCTAAGGTAACAGAGCACCCTATGGATCTTTATACAAGGTGCTATATCAAATGCAAGTACTATTATTATCATTATTAAGCCCACATATTGATTATGTCAAGACCCGAAAAAGATTCCAGCTGGAATATGTAGAGCCCAGAAAATAAAAATCAACTGGAGGATTCAGGTTCGAGGATCCTGCCTCCGATTACAACAAACTAATGCTCAAGATGACTGGTGTTTAAGTCATCTATTGGTTTAGAACTGTTATAAAGCTTGACTGCATCCAGGTTCCAAAAAAGGGTAGATCATGCAATGGCCATATCCCAGCACTCTGTACGTCTTGAACTCTGAGTCAGTGATATAAATATTTGGTCTTTTAAGAACTGCCACCATAAAAGACGTAAACAATACTCAAAAATAATAATCACTTCAAAAAATAATATGAATAATAATTTGGTCACTCAATCCACGACTGTTTGTGGGACACTGCTGTGTGCAACTGACTGCTGCATTTCACCCGCAAAATACAGTCACTACACTTTACAATATATTCTGTGAAGTGCTTTGAAACGTCTCAAAGACTTGATAAGATGCTATATCAAATGCAAGTATTATAATTATTATTATTAAGCCCACATATTGATTATGCCAAGACCTGAAAAATTTAAGATTGCAGCTGGAAGATGTAGAGCCCAGAAAAAAATTGTAGGGTTTGGTTTCAGAAAATGGTCTGCCATTTTGGAAAATCTAATAATTGTTCAGCTCAACACCATTATTAATATTTCTCCTGTACATCAACTTTTTGTAATCACTTTCTCAATCTCATTGATTTACTAAATAAACCCTTTGCTTTGTTCACTCTGACCCATTCCACATACCAAACCTACACCCTCTGCTACCTTCAACCCTTGCCTGGCTCAGTTGGTAGTGCTAATGCCGGTGGATCAGATGGTTGTGGTTCATGGTCTAGGCTGACACTCCAGCACAGTTTTGGAGATGTGTCGCATTGTCAGAGGTGCTATCCTTGGATAAGAACCAAGGTCCCATCTGCCTGTTCAGGTAGATATTAAAGGGCACTATTCAGAAATGGAAGGCAAGCTTCTCCCAATGTCCTAGCCAACAATCGCAGACCATTTTCTGAAACCAAACCCTACAATTTTTTTNCAGTAGAAAACTTTCCAAATTCTTAGCTCCGGTCACTCTTGCCCTCACCTCCTTTTACATTCTTGCTTACCCTGATTCAGCAGTCTCTTTGACTCTTACATCAATCCCTCCCGCCACTGAGTGCATTTCTTCTTCCTGAGGTAAAGATGCTTTCCTGTCACTTTGTCATCGAAGTTCATCCAGTGAGCTTCTTTCCTCATGGTGAAATGTTTCCTAAGCATAATTTCTGTGAACCTATACTGACCAACCCCTCACTCCTTGGCTGATATATAGATTCAGTAGAAAACTTTCCAACACCCAGTCTGCATGAAAGATCTACCCACTAAGCATGATGTACCTCATATAAATCGCTCCGATTATAATCGATTAGAGTGGACCAGTTAATCATGCACAGTGTTAAATTAACTCCATAAACAAATGAAAAAAAGGCAATCAGGGAACAAACATTAATAACTTGAATATTCTTAAAACAGAGTTCAAGTCATTTTAATCCAGAGGGTGGCAAATTTCTTCCATACTTTTCAGGTCCACAGAGTAGGAGAACACAGGAGTTTCCAACCCCATCTTCTAATATAGCCTGGAGTAGACATTTACAAACTTCAGAAACTAAAGATTCCTAAGATAAACACTAAGATAAACAGACAAACCAAATCTTGGAGAGACCATGTGGAATGAAATGCATGACTTTTGCCAACAGCCCCAATACCCTATCCAATGAGACAAGCTCATGTTTATCACATCAGATATAATCCAGTCCCCGAGTCCTCTCCCCGAGTTGTCTCCAAGTAAATTGAGAACCTTAAACCAGGCATGTCTGCTCCATCCATATCACAAACCAGTTCCTTCCTGCTGAGCTTGTTTGAAGTGAAGTGCTAGTGAATATTAATGAGATTGAACTACTCTTTTTTATACAAAATAGTAGGTAGCGGATAAGGCACAGCATTTTGTATCTCGTGACAACTGGCATGGTGATACTCAATGACCAAATGAACAACCGTCAATGAGTGACCCGTGTCACATTCCTTTTTTGTGGGCGGTATCCTTAGTACTACATTAGAGCTGTTTTCACATCTCAGTTACATTTATATCAGCAGCTAGTGATACAAACATGGTATGAAATGCGTCAGACTCAGACATCAATGAGTACAACTGTTGGGGTTACATTACGAATACAAATCTAAATACTCTCCCTGACTCAAATCTAAATCCAGTACTAATTTGACTAGCTGCTTTGGAATGCAATGTACAGGAAGCAACATCAGCAGCCACCTGATACTCTGGTAGTCAGCTATTTAATACACACATAGTTAAAAACAGTACGAGATGGTTGACCAAACTTGTTGCCTTGTATTCAAAACTACAACACACCAATGATTTCAAATACATAGTTATTGAACCTTCATTCTGCTTTTATACCAAGAAGCAACAATTATAAATGTATATTTGAAATAGACTCTACCGTGTCAAAATGAAGGCAGAGATCAATTAACATATCAATTGCTGCTAATTTGAAGATCCACTCTCTCATGATTACTATCAAGAAATATCCCATGATTAGAATCTTACAATTATCATAAGAACTGAAGGAGTAGACGTGATAACTAAAGTCATAATTATACACACAACGGAGAAGTCTGGAAGTTATGTGGATGGAAGGGACCTTCAAAGAATCATATTTTTAAAACCACCACAAAAATTGCATTTATATAAGCAACCTTCACACAGGGTATCATCTGAGCGCTCAACAGTGGCAGAGCTTGTGTGACCTGAATATGGACAAGGAGGGGATAAGGCAGAGTTCCAGAGCCTTGGGGCCTAGAGACCGAAAGCACTACGCCGATGGTGGAGCAGAGAGGACGAGGGACATACAGGAGGCTGGAGGCAGTAGAGTGAAGGGGGGGCTGGAGGGGTGCAGTGTAGAGTGGGCCTTATGCAAATCGAAGAGGTAGGAGGTGCCAGGGCATGAAGTGGTTTGTGAGGATTTTGAAATTGATATGTTCTACTAAACATTTTTCAAGATAGGTTGACCCTTCCCATGGATTGCTGAATATTTGGAAACAATAGATACCAATTCAATTACAGTCAAAGGATGTTGCAAATTAAAAAAGTATCCTGCTTACTAATAGATGAATCAGATCATTGCAAATTACATCTAATCATTTAAATTGCTATTCTATAAAAAAGTAATGGATTGAAATCACGTTAAAAAGCATGAAACATAAGAACAAATTACAATATGTTGAGTTTGAGAAGAAAAGCAGAACAGAGTATTAGGCTGCTCTGCATCACATTACACTTACCAAGGCGAAGACATTGCCTTAATATTCCTCCAGAAGACATGTTCTTTTCAGCCTCAATTTCAGTAAAGCTGAGGGAACTGGCAAAAATCAAAACATCAACAAGGCCTATTAACCTCTGAAGAAAGGTTACTGAAGATTCGAATGATAAACCTTGAGTTGGTTCAATGTTCTCCAATTCATGCTGTGAAAGACACATTTTGTTTTGTTTTAAAATCAGTACAAATGCTAAATAATAAATTAATCATAGATTATATGTATGGTAGCATCTTCACTCTAATAATAGAAGTACTCTCCACATACAATAGACAGAGAACTGGTACAATTTTTACAGGGGATCATTCTCTTTGTGATGTTTGGAGACATCAGTGAAAATTCATTTAATTCCTCTCAATCCTTTATCCACAAATAGCACAGTCAAACCATTTTTGATGAACAGAAACAAGCCTACAAGATAATTACTGGAAGAGTTATGGGAGAGTTTAGAAGAAATATTTTCACTTTGGGATTATTAGAATTCAGAAATACTTTGCTAAGTCACTGTTGTGGCTGAGCCCATAATATTTAAAAGTGAACTGGATAAACATTTGAAAAGAAATCTAAGTGTTTGGGAAAAGAGCACAGAGCTAGGATTAGAGTGTTAACTCCCGTATAGACAAAATGAGTCAAATAGTTTCTTTCTATGCTATCATTTTCACAATTCTATACACTTCTGGGTATTCAGCTCACTACATGCACTTTTAAGAGCGACCGAGCAAGAAAACTACTGTATTTGAAATTCCAGCAGCTGGAATGGACATATCAAAATGTAAACAATTTGTAACACGATAGTTATTCAAAATTGATAGCTATATGTATTCCCAGGAATTAGTCTGCGAGACACTCAACCGGTGACTAAAAATAAACTGTGTATTTTGTGGGTGAAACAAGCAAGGCAGCTTTCAAAAATTAAAATAGGACTCTGCAAAACCTCAGAGGCACGAGAAGGAAGAAAAAGTATACAAGCTTTGAAAGCCTATATTCATGTCCCATGAAGGAAGAAACGAAGCTTGAAATGAACTTAAATTTAACATTCCCTTCACAAAATGGAAAAAAAATAGAAGATGACGTTGTGAACTAGAGAAGAGAAACATGGAAGACTACAATTGCTGCCTTAGCAACTCATATGGAACTTGGTTTCATCAAGAACAATATAAAGTGTTCAAACACTTCAACCAGCTGACATTTCAAGCCAAAGGCCAACAGTCTTTAGTGACCCACCAGTGGACAAGGTTCTGCCACATAATATTGTAAGTTCTACTCAATGAAGTGTCTCACATAGAAAAATTAGGACCATTAAACTCACAGGGCACTCAAATCAATAAATTAATAAATCAAACCCCTGTGAAAGGAGGTTCTGCCCTTTCAAGTTTAAGAATTTATGGGGTAAAAAGCACAGCATCCTCAGGAGTTCAGAATCTGAGAGCCTATCCATTTAAGTAAAGGCAGTGCTAGAACCTTATTCTAAGTAAAAGCCAATCTGTTTGATCAAAAGATTGCTCTGTCTGTAGGAATTAGATACGTTGTCTGTTTTCTGATAGGTAAATACCATGTAGAAGGACTCCTACACGTGGTATACTAAAGCAGAGCAGCGGGGGACAACCTCACCAAGATGAGAAGCACAAGGTAAACAGGACCTTTGTCTTATAGGTATATAAAAGATGGGAAATAGATTTGCCCTACTGATAATTGTATTTTCCTCTACTCACTATCTCAGGTTTCTCCTATTCAATTGATACAGTCTCTCAACATCACACCACATTTTAAATGAGATCCTCCCTCCCTAGTCATTTTTCCCTACATACAAGATTAGTCTATGTGGAGAATTGCAAATTTTCTTAATTAACATTTAAAATCTTACACTAAAGCTCTTTGAAAAGAATTCATTTCTGTACAATTAGAAACATTGCTTTAAAATCTATTTACTTATTTGTGATACTTTGCAACCTATTGCAATCCACAATTTTACGCTTCTATCAACACATGCATGTTTTCCAGAATAGCTGTGCAGTAATGTTAATCACAACCTGGACAGATTATCCCTAAATGAAGTCACCCCCTTTTCCTTCCCTTTACCCTTACTTGCAAAACCATACAGCTGTCTATCAAAACAAAATGTACATCGTTAACTGTAAGCCATTTTGTAACCTTATAAAGACCTTCTATATCAGAAATAAATAAGTAAGCGTACCATCATAACCTACTCATACTTATTATACCTGGACATAAAAAGATGTCTGAGTGACTAAAATTTGTAAGCATACACTTAACCACTTCAATATTTCCTTTAAGATACACACCATTAATACATACCCAGAACATTTAAACAAGAATAATGCATTTCCAATCAGAGACTTAACCTGTGTTGTTTAACCATTTTACACAATTAAAAGCAAATCATTTTATTTATAAGCTTTGCAGGTTCACATCACAAATGTGGAACTGTCTGTTTTTTGATACTCTTTAAGATTGGTGATGAGTTTCCACATGTATCAGATACCATGTATCAGCTGACCAAAAAAAATCACAAAAATAATCTAATGTGACTCAGTAAAGACTAAAGACTAACTACCTAAAAATCACAGTAATTAATTCCTACTTTAGGTATGAATGCTGAAATACAAAATTGAAGAAACTAATGGAGTTCTTTTCATTTACATAATTTGGAGAGTGATCAAAAGAAACAGTATGTGGGTCATTCGGGACATTACACTGGTTAGAATTTTATGAACATATTAGGCTATAAAAGTAGTAAATTATGACAATTAATTTAACTACAGCTTTCACTCGCCTCATGTTACACAAAAGCTGTAACACAATTAAATTGAATAATAATGAATAATTGGGGGTAATTTCAAGGCTCTAGACTAATACAAGGGTACAAAGTGATTCATATGCCACAACAGCAAAATTATCAGAACTATGATGTTACGTGAAACTGCCTTATAATTACTTCAGAGAATCATGAGATATGACTAATTCTAACAAGCAGTTTTCATTCAGTATGGGCAGATTTTGTGCCATCAGCATCTTCTCATTGACATGAAATGCTCAGAATTTAGGATTAATGACCTAAATTAATGATCATTAATGCAAAATTTATGAGGAAAAGTGGGTTGATACTTGGGAAGTTCTATGACTGGGAAACGTATGAATTATTACAGAAAGAATACAGTGTTCAATTTCCCTGGGGATTCAAATGAGACAACTGAAGCAAAGGGCATGGTCACTTAGTATGGATTCATACCAATCATGTGAAGCATCAAAACAAACTAGTTTCATGCATCTCTGAAACAATTAGTTTAGCAACATGTGAATATAGATCTACACAAGTAATTCCCCAGACTATCTTTCAAATGTAACGGTGATTTGATAGGTATGTCAATTGTAACAGCACTTGCATCAACAAGTGTGAAGCAATGAGGGAGGTTATTCCAAAGGTATGCTTTGCCTCAAAAAAATTCAAATTTATCTAAAATTGCACTTTAAAATGTCTGAAATTATAAATTTGCAAATATTTTGATTAGATTATCTATTTGGAGAAAATGGCACTTGTACACGTGCAGTCTCATTAGTACGAAATTGTGTCAGAATCAGTCAAAAGAAAATTGCTTTAAAATTACACAGTAAATGGAATACAGGTCTAATATATTTATTCAATGAGACTTAAAAGTGTCATGTCACTTTTTTAATATATGGAATTAAACCTTCACTTTTCTTCTTCTGGTTATATATTAAGCTACTGACCTAAGCAAGGTCAGATATGAATGATTTTGAAAAAGTAACCATTCTTAATTACTAATCTTGGTCGGATCAGTCATATTTGACCTTGCTTAGGTCAGCCACTCACTACAAATATAAAACAGGGGAGTTCCATTCTTCAACTTAATGAGCATGAGCAAAATTCATTTTTCAGAAAAGTGTTTCACCCATTCTTTCATACTCACTGTCGTAGATGTAGCTGCAGACAGAAGTGGGAGGATCCCACCACAGGCCATTATGATATTATCTACCACCTGAGAGATGAGGTGAATAGTATTATGGACAAAGATGATGTTTTCACTGCTGTTCACAAAATCCATCACTGTCTTTGTGTTGTGGCTGCTCAAGGAGGCAAAACGTATACATGCAATATATTTAAAAATCAATTCACACATCTCGATACATATACAGCTGACAATTTATAAAATTGAAATATAAAAATTTGTAATGTGAAAATGTTTAACTCCACTTCAACAGAAAATAAAAATTGGAAGATATGAAAGCTCTATGGAATCAAATAAGGTACAAACTCTCACAAAAGACAATGAGGTACAGTAGGAACACATATAACCCACCTTCTCCACATCTGCACATCTGTCTCGATGGAGAACAACAAGTCATTAAGCAAACGCTGGTGCATGTGGGACCATTTAAATTCAGGAATACGAAATATAGCAGAGCGTGCTGAAGGATTAGATCCTCTTCTCTGTCCATCAGACAGAGTGCCTTGCTGATTACTAGGCTCCAACTGTGATACCTGGGCAGAGCAAAAAGATTAACACATTCAAGCGAGATCATGCTGCAACATTCATCATTGAAGATTTGGTTTCAAAAAGAAATCAAGCGACATGGCTAAGAAACCCCAGGAAATATATCACTAGAAATATTCTGCTACATATCAATTATGAAAAGTGAAAATAACAGAACCAGAACTCTGTGTAATGCCACTAAGCACTGTACCGCAAAATGAGCCTTTCAGTTTATTACCACCCCTCAAGCCAGTTTTCGAAGCAGTTGTCTTACTTCCACAGGTCTTGAAAGGAAAGTTTAGTGGATGTTCAAAGACTCTTCCAAGCTTCAGATTTTTAAATCCCGCCCCACCCCCAATAAAATTATATTTGTAAAGCGCCTTTCACACTGGGAGGACATCCCAAAGTGCTGAACAGTCAAGGATCAGGACTCAAGCATGGGGGGGCACGGTTGGGTTGAGGGAGGGCAGGGGGAGCTAGGAGGGCAGCTGAAGGCACAGTCAAAAAGGAGGGTCTTGAGTCATGCCTTGAAGGAGACAAGAGAGTGAGCAAGGTGAAGGAATTGTGGGATGGAGTTCCAAAGAGTGGGGCAAACAGGCTGAAAGCCCGGCCACCGATGGTAGCAGGCCAGAGCCTGCTGAGCGGAGGGAGCGGACAGGTTGCTGGGGGTCATCAGTTCAGAGATGTAAGAGAGGGCAAAGCTATGGAGGGCCTTGAAAGTGAGGTTGAGGATTTGGGATTCTGTCCTCTCAGGAATGGGGAGCCGGTGGAGCCGGGTGAGGGTGGGGGTAATGGGGTCACAGAGCCTGGTGCGGGAGAGGACATGAGCTGCAGAGTTCTGGATAATCTGCAGCTTGTGGAGGGAAGAGTTGGGGAGGCCAACAACGAGGGAGTTTCCGTAGTCGAGCCTTGTGGTGACAAATTGAGGGTTTTGGCGGCCTGAGGGGTGAGGCAGTGGCGGAGTTGGGCAATGTTGCAGAGGTGAGGGAAGGCAGAGCGGGTCATGGCACGAATATGGGGGAGAAAGGACAGCTGAGGGTCGAACAAGACACCCAGGTTCCTAACTGGCCTGATGAGGTGGATGCTGACTGTGCCTGAGGTGCTGAGGCACTGGCGCAAGCCATTCAAGAGGGCCTCAGTCTTGCTGGCATTCAGCTGTAGAAAGTTGGCTCTCATCCAGGACTTAATGTCAGTCAGTCTGTCAACACGTCAGTTGTTCTGGAATCGAAATGGAGGCAGAAAGGGTTGTTTGTCATCCGCGTACATGTGGAAATTGACCCCATGTCGTGGATGATGTCACGAAGAGGGAGCGTATAGAGGCTGAAGAGGAGGGGACCAAGACAGAGCCCCGAGGAACACCATACAGGGGCTGGAAGAGAAACTGTTGACAGAGACAAATTGGAGGTGGTGTGAGAGATAAGATCTGAACCATTCAAGGTCAGAACCTTGAAGGTTGAGGTGAGAGGAGAGGCGATGGAGGAGGATGGAGTGGTCCACAATATCGAAGGCATCGGAGAGGTTGATGAGGACGAGGAGGCAGAGGAAGCCCAGTCACACATGGACAAAATGTCATTTGTCACATTGACTAGTGCAGTGAACAGCATGGAAACCAGATTGGAGGGACTCTTGAAGGGAGTTGTAGGAGAGGAATGAGCGAAGCTGGGAAGCAACGACTCTTTCAAGGACCTTCAAAAGAAAAGGGAGGTTGGAGATGAGCCAGTAGTTAGAAAGCAAGGATGGGTCCAGGGAAGGTTTTTTCAGAATGGGGGTGATTGTAGCTGTTTTTAGGGGGATGGGAACGGTACCAGATGATAGGGAGAGACTGATGGTGTCAGAGAGTAGAGGGGCGAGGAGGTGGAGCTGGGAGGTAAGGAGAGGGGTGGGGATGGGTTCAAGGGACCAGGTGGGGTGTTTCATGTTGGATATAGTGGTGATGAGAGAGGAGGAGGAGACAGGTTCAAAAATGTGGAGGGAGGGATGGGTAGAGGTCGGAGTGTGGGGGAGGAGATTGGGAGGGAGTGGCATTTGGGAGGGCAAAGGCAGCTGAACGGATCCCCTCGATTTTGGACTCGAAGAAATCCAGCATCTCCTCACAGTCAGAGCTTGAGGAGAGAAGGGGTGAGACGTGGGAGGGTGGACGGAGGAGGCTTGGATTCAGAGCAGTTCAGACCCCAGAGTGAAAGCTTGTGGGACATTGCTGTGCGCAATTGGATTGTCACATTTCCCCCATAAAATAGACAGTCAATTCACTTTACAGTCCAGCGGCTTCGGACGTCCTCCCGACGTGAAAGGCGCTATGCAAATGTAATCTTGTTGTTGTATATTCTGTGAAGCACTTTGAGACGTCTCGAAGAGGTGATAAGGCACTATATCAATTGCAAGGATTATCATAATAAACATTAACAAAACAATTTCCTTATTGTTCCATTTTCAGACTGAACAAAAGAATCCTCCAAATGTTATTGAAATGCTTAATTTACATGTTGCATTTTTTTTCTTTGGACAGAGAGCACCATTCTATTTTTCTTCGCCTGCCCAATCTTGGCAAATATAAAGTTAAATAAAATAATTTAGAATACTTATGGTAATTTTGCTTAAATGCTTGATTACAGTAAAGATTGTTACCTGAATGGGAGATTTCAACACATGTGAAGATTCTCGACTTATACTTGCTCGAAGTTCTAACTTCTCAGTATCTGATGCAACACTGGACACATCGAGTCTAGCAATTTCTTTAGCAGAAGAGACTTTCAATTCTTTTGTTTTCGTGGCATTCACTTCAATATCTTTGTCTACAACACAACTGCCATGAGTGCTGGAATCACTAGAATGGCTGTCCACTTGTTTTAACGATTCAGTACTAGTTTCTGACTGTGACTTTGATTCCTCTTTTATCGCTTTGGGCACCACTTCCTCCTCCGGTACAGAAGGAGAATGATTTGAAATTGCTTCTGAACAGCTCTCACTGCTTTTGGATTCAGAAATCAAAGTGCTGCCTTCTACAGACTCAGAAACAGCTTCCGGTTCTGTAGTGATATTCTCATTGCTACCATTTGGGCTGCCTTCATGCTGTCCATTAGCAGAGAGTTCCTTTTCAACCAGCTTTGGATCTCCTGGTCCGAACATAACATTACTTTCTTGTTTTTCTGCAGCATTTTCTATTGTCAACGTTTTTGGATCAAGTGATTCAGAGGTAACTGATGTAATCGCCTTCAGGGAAGTCTGTCCTAAATCAGCAGCTTCTCCAGATGAAACAGTTGGACTCTCCAAACACACTTGACTTGCTTCGACTTCCTCCACTTTGGAAGTATCCTGAAACTCTAATAATTGATCTGATTTCTGACCTTCCTCAGCTTTCTTTTGTATTTCAGCACCATTAGATGGTATAACATCTGCCTTGATTTCACTTTCCGCTTCCAAAATTTTCTGTTCTTCTGTGAATTCTGTACTGATCTCATGGTTAGTTTCACTTTGCTGTTCAGACCCCATTCCCTCGTTTTCTTGTATTGGTTTGTCTTCCACCAGATTTTCAGCACAAGGTATTTGCTGAACCTCAGAAACCTCTTTACCAGCCACGGCTCCTTGTGCACTGCTAACCCCTGAGATTGTTCTCACGTTAGAAATGTATCCTGCATGCTCATCTTGTCTTTGGTATTCTTCAAACATTCTGGCCAAGCTCTCCTTGTGCATTTCATAAGTAACCTGAAAATGTAAAAAAGATAAATAAGAAAAACAAAATGGCAAAAAAAAAAGAAAACCACAGCCGATCCTTGAGGTTAATAAGTTCCACTGTGTATAATGCTAACCAAATTAAATCAGTGCCTAGCAAGATGCAAACTGTATATTTTTGAAATGGAGAGGAGGGAAAAGAGGTTTAATGATCATTTTAATCTTAATCTCTGTTATTTACAGAATAAACATTCAAGTGTTTCAAAGTAATTACCAGTCATAATCAGATCAGTACATGTAACAAGTCCTTACTTCAAATTGTGTTATACCAAGTAAAGCCAACATTGTTAACTATGCAGAGTAGCAGAGAATTGTTGAATTAAAATAATTGTACAAAGGACCTGCCAGTTTTTTTTTTAAAAAAGCAGCATAGACCTGCTCTTGGTAGATCTGCTTTTCATAGATCTAAATAAAATCAATACCCCCAAAAGAAAAATTTCCAAGATTATCAAACATTTCAAGCCGTACCCCCAACCCCCCAAAAGACTTCCAGTGATTTGTCTCTTCACTTCCTCAATTATAAAAAGTTATGAAAATAAAGCAACTAAAAAGACGATACCACATATAGAAATTTTGTACAACATAGTGTTAAAAAAGTGAAAAAGGTAATGTTTTAAAATTGCCTGGTTTATTTGGAGAAATCATGTGTTGTGCAGTTTAGTATATAATTTAGAATATTGATATCCTTTTTACACTGCTGGTTACAGCAAGACAAATCGTGTGCATGCAGAAGCAAACTTGTTAGCTCTCTCTCCTCCCAACCCATTGGAAACAGAAATAACCAGACAATACTGAGCAGATGGAAAATGCTGCAAGATTGCAACCATCCCAACATGAATCTACCCATGATGGGATAAATAGGTCCAAATCACTATTTATACTGAGAAACAAATGTCAAAGTTTGGGTCAGGTCCAAAAAACAAATAGATTAGTTATTTCAATGTTACTTTTATGTTTTCCTCTTTTCTTTCTTTCATTGAATAATACATGAGCTATTTTATCAAAACATTCCAGGTCAGAAATATACTTTCATTATTCCATGTTACAACTGCAATACAATCAGTATTTTTTTTACCCTTTTGATTGAAGGATTTATGCTATCATTAAGTTAGATTTGAAAACAGACATGATTATTTAAATAAAACTTGAAAACATCTACAGAACAATTGGTCATCCATCCACTATCGTTCTATTAGTACCACCAATCAAAAAACTGTAGATAGTCATCATGATTAAAAAGCATAATGCAGCACCATTAGAACCTATGTGTTTTCCCCATGAGAATTGGGATGGGAGGAGGGGGGGGGAATTAAAAGAAATGTACATACATGAGGCTGAAGGACACAAAATCAGTCCATGGAAGGAAAATCTTAACTAGTTTGCATTGCTTTCTTTTTCCTGGAGGCTTAACAGTAAAAGCAGATAATTTGCAATTAATTAGCAGATATTGTTCTAAATTAGCCAGCTACAAGGGTAGTCATTAATCTTCCCAATCACTTGATTATTAATCCATAGCTGTTTGCACAGTGTAGACTGCTATTGAAAGTATCATTCCAACACTCAGAATCTTCTGGTGCTCCATTACTCCCAACTTAATTTACATTAAACATTTACTAATTAACAGAAAAGGTGGTTTAAATTACGCAAGTGTTTTTAATTAGATTTTTTTAAATAATGTGTTTGTAATTTATTCTGTGTTAATATGATGCCTTCGCTTTCCAGATTTTACTAATTATATATGTTTAAAAATGATTTACAGGTGTCCGAAGGGCAGCAGCAACAGAGAATGGCAAGTCACGGACGGATCTGTACACGTGGTTTGCTCACAATTCTGAACTATTGATCCTAACCATGATCCCATTACAACTCCTGAATCAGCATGCTAAGTGTATAATTATCAGCACAACTTTTAAAAATTCCAAATGAATAAAATACATGGTTTAAACTACTGTAGTCTAATTCTAAACATACAAAATGTAGATGTTTTTGTTGACCTTGAACATCCACAAAACACACAGTCACTCCACTTTACAGTAAATCCTGTGAAATGCTTTGGGACCTTCTGCCGAAGTGAAAGGTGCTATGTCAAATGTAAGTAATATTTTTCAAATGCTAGCATATTTTGGAGGAGACCTTCCAGCATTTAAGTTTAGAAATATTTCAGTGAAAAAAGGCCGCACAATTACTTTAGTTGATGACTTAGCCTTCATATACTTGTTGAAACTATCGGTCACATGAGTGGCTGGGGAAGGAAGGATATTACATCAATAACCTTACACAACACAATTTCCTAGGTTAGAAGGTTAGAGATGGATCACGTTCATTGAGATCGATCAAGTAGCAGTTACTGAATACAGCTTTTTATAAAAAATGTTAAATGCAAAACAAACTCAACTCTTGAGACACGGGAGGGGGAGAAAGAGGGGGGATACTTGTTGGTTAATGTGTTACATTAGTCTCATCCAGATGAGATTAAAAAAAATTATGCAGCAAAAAGTTTTTTTTATATAGTTTTTTTGTTCAGAACAACTTCATTCTTGGATGGCACAGTTCTTGACAATTTTAAACACGTCAGAACAATCCAATGAAATTTTGCCTTGTGCATGTTTGGGGAATTTAAATTAGGATGGCATATCACATTGAAACACTTAAATGATGCCACACAGATACATTCTCAAATTTCCCACACCACTGAGTTTCTAATCTAAATTGCAAATCAGTGCGCCTAACCTGGGTGATTTCCCCTCAAGGAAGGAAAAGATGTAAGAATCCCTAAACTATACCTGCACATATTCCAGTATCTGGAAAAAAAATCCCCCCCCCCCCACCACTGCTTTGGAGTCATCGTGGAGTCTTGTAGCTCAGTGGTTAGAGCACTCGCTTTGCAAGCGAGAGACCTGAGTTCAATTCCAGGCAGAGGGCGAAACCTTGGGCAAGTTTCCTTACTCCACACACCTAATAGTAATCCCTCCAAAACCAAAAACAATAATAAATTGGTCATTTTCAATCTACGACTGTTTGTGTGACATTACTGTGCGCAATTGGCTGCCACGTTCGCCCACAAATATACAGTCAATTCACTTTACAGTGTGTTCTGTGAAGCGCTTTGGGACGTCCTCCCGACGTGAAAAGTGCTATATCAAATGCAAGGATTATTATTATCTGAACTCCTACCCCTCTGGGCTTCCTCCCGCAATGACCTATCCTCCTCGGTCACTCTTCTCCACAATTCTTTCTCCACCACTCTCGATGCCCTTGCTCCCCTCGCTTCTCGAACCATCTCCTATTCATGGAGGTCACCCTGGTAAACCAGCCACCTCCGCTGCCTTAAGCCATAGGTGTTTGCCGCTGAACGCACCTGGCTCAAATCCAACTTAACAGTCCATCTGGAGATCTGGCTGGACCTTATCAAATCTAACCACTCTACCCTCACCTCCACTAAATCATCCTTCTACTGCCAAGATAATCTTGGAGGCCAAGGACAACCCTAGGCTCCTCTTCTCCATCACCAACCAGCTCCTCTGCCTACACTCTCACACCTCACCCATCCTCTCCTCCAATGCTAACTGTGAGGAGATGCTAGACTTCCTCAAAACCAAAGTCCAGGGGATCCGCTCAGCCTCCTCTGCCCTTACGATCACTACCCCGTCCCCATCTCCCGTTCACACCATGGCCATTATCCATCTCTCCCTCCACACCTTTGAGCCTGTCTCCCTCTCCTCTCACCACCACAATAACCCACATAAAACTGACCACCTGCTCCCACGACCCCATCTCTATCTCTCTCCTTACCCCAGCATCACCTCCTTGCTCCCCTACTCACAGATATCATAAACCTCTCCCTGTCCACTGGCACAGTTTCCACTGTTTTAAAAATGGCCGTCATCACTCCTATCTTTAAAAAAAAACCTTCGCTGGACTCATCACTGCTCTCAAACTACCCAAACTACCAACCCATCTCCAACTTCCTTTTCCAAGGTGAGTCGTTGCTTCCCAGCTTCGCTCTTTTCTCTACCGCCACTCCCTTCAAAAACTCCTCCAATCGGGTTTCCGTGCCACCCACAGCACAGAAACAGCTTTGGTTGAAGTGACAAATCACATTATGTCCATCTGCGACCAGAGCTCCCTCTGCCTCCTCATCCTCCTTGACATCTGCTGCTTTCGATACCGTTGACCACTCTATCCTCCACCACCTCTCCTCTCACCTCAACCTTCATGGTTCTGTCCTTGAATGGTTAAGATCGGACCTCTCACATCGTCACCACCTCATCTCCACAAATGGCTTCTCCTCTAGCCCCCACACCTTCTCGTGCGGAGTTCCTCAGGGCTCTGCTCTGGGTCCCCTTCTCTTCAATATCTTCATGCTCCCTCTTGGTGTTATCATCCGCAGACATGGGGTCAACTTCCACATGTATGCAGATGACACCCAACTCTATCTCCCTGCCTCCACCCTTGACTCCAGGACCACTGCTGTCCTGACAGAATATCTGCCAGACATCACATCCTGGATGAGAGCTAACTTTCTACAGTTGAACGTCAACAAAACCTAGGCTCTCCTGACTGGCTCCCATCAGCATCTCCACACCTCCAACACTAACAGCATCATCATCCAAGGATGCACACTCCACCTTGCTAAGCCAGTCTGGAACCTTGGCATCTTGTTTGACCCTCAACTATCCTTTCTATCCCACATCCGTGCCATGACCCACTCTGCCTTCGCCCACCTCCGCAACTTCGCCCGGCTCCACCACTGTCTCCCACTGCAGGCTGCCGAAACCCTCATACACACATTCATAATATCCAGGCTCAAATACGCAAACTCCCTGGTTGTCGACCTCCCCAACTCTTCCATCCATAGGCTGCAGAACATCCAGAACTCTGCAGCCGTGTCCTCTCCCACACTAAGCTTCGCAACCCTATCACTCCGATCCTCACTCAACTCCACTGGCTTCCCATCACACAGAGGATACAGT